AAAGTATTATTATTATCATCATTAATTTTTAGTTTCTACAAGGAGTTCTTGCTGTCTTAACTCCAGGGTCTTTCTCACCTGGTGGCATCCTCTTCTGACTGCATCTCAGTTTCAGCTGCTCCCTGAGACACTTGTCTCTCTTTCAAAGGCCCCCCCTAGGCCTGTCCAAAGGAAAATGTAGGGTTGCCCATATTTAAGTCAGACCACTGTTGCCAAGCCTACAATATTTTTCCTTGGGGCCACCTGCATGCACACATTGGCTCAAAGATATGCACGAGCAGGATTGCAGTAAAGAGAAAAAAACAAACAAAAACTAGTTTAATACCCAATTGGCCGATATGGAGATGGGAGGCTAGTGCTCTGAAGACCTGACTCCCCGATAGCGTATGGGTTACAGATTATACCAGGCAAAATCATAAAACCCTGGGTTTAGCGGGCTTGAGGTGGTGCTGGGAGCTGAGTGGTTGGAGGTGAGGTAAAGGTAATAAATCATTTCTTCAGGTCTTGAAGAGAGCTCTGAGATCCCTCTGTCTGGTCTCCGGAGGAAATAGCCAGGGGGAATTGAAACATAACTTGGTTCAAATGTTGCAGTATCTTTACCTTGCCAGGTGCCCAGACCTTGTAATCATTTTGCCTAGGGGGTGTTTCTGATTATCCAGGGAAAGGCTAGGTCTTTGAGGGGTGCGGAGAGAGACAGAGATAAGGTTTCTAGAGCTAAAATTAAACCTAAATTTAATCAAAGTCATAAGGACTCCTCAGTTTCACCACTCCAAATAAACCTCCGGAATTTGGTGAAAATCAACCCAGCCAATCTTAGTGATTCGGTGATAACAGAAAACCAGAAATCTAATTTATAAACTTACTGTCCTTACTAAATAAGAACAACAACAATATTAATTTAGCTTCCTTAACAACAACAAAAGGCAACAAAACAACTACAAAAAAGACAAAGAGAGATCGCCTTGAAAACAGCGTAGAAAAGGGACAGGGTGGAAAAGCGTTGGCAACTGCAGTTGATACGGGATTTTTGCACTGGAGCACGCGCTGTTCCCCTGGGCAGGATGGTTCCCGGGCTCTTTGTCGGTAGAAGTTAAAGAATGAATCCACGGATGGAAGATGGTATAGCAAAGGTGGAAATCTATTGAAGAACAAGTACAGACTCCCACCTGGGGAGGTGGAAGGAGTTCCACCGAGTTCCTCTCCTCCCACCCCCCATTCTCCTTTATAAAGGCTGCAGTTTTTGTGCCTCAATATCCCCTCTGATTGGCCACTATTCCCCTTTGATTTGTCACTAAAGCAACTCTTGGGTTCAAAGGTCAAACCTCAGGTAGGACTGTGAGGCCCTCCTTCTTTCTTTTTTTTGTAAATATAGACCTTCGGCTACTCACAGTTCCCTTCATTAGAGAAATGTAACTATTGCAGGTCCCCTGCTTCCTTGTCTATGGAAATGTAACCTTTGTAGCTCTGTAGCCCTCTGTTTCTTCCATGGACCCCCTTAATTTTAAAAAATTCCCTAAACCTGCCTTTTTCACGCCTAAAAATTCCTATTTCACAGTGGTGTGAGAAATGATCAATTCCTGAATGACTGTAGCTCTTTGGGTTTGGAGAGGGAAAGGGGAAGTTCTGAGGAAATTGTAACATGTTCAATTAGCAAAGTAAATGGCTTACTACAATAGATATGAGAAGGGAGGAGAACACACTTAATCAGTCCCAGATCTGAAAAGCAGGTAGGGCCTGCTGCCAGCTATTATTTCTCCACCTGAGGCAGGCCAAGTCATTAGTAGTCAATGTAAGCAAATAAAATCTAGGACAAGAAAGAACTGTCTTTGCTTTTGGATAATAAGGCCAAGGGTATTATTAAGACAGATTAAGGTCGAAGACACATTATAAAGAGGACACATTCTCAGAAGAAAATGAGTCTTCAGGGTGGTGAATATGTTAGACCTTAGGTTTATTAGGATTAAACCAACATCTAAACTATGGCCTCCTTCCCCCTTCCATCAAAGGGCTCACAACTCCATTTGCACAAGGGTTAGCAAAAACAGAGTTGAAAGGAAATCTTTTAACACTCTGGGAATGATGACAGAGGACTGGATTGGAGGGCTGGGCCTACATTGTTTTGTGGAGGGGAGGTGGGGTTTGAGCAACATGGGGGCTGGGGCCTGGAATGGCTTGAAGGAGGGGATCTCAGCTAGAGGATGATGACCATCTTTTTGGAAAACTGTAGTAACTGTTTAGGATACCCCATGAAAACTTAAGCAATGAGGTTGTGTCCCTCCTGCAGTTCAAGAGTGAAAGTTATCCAAGCCAAAGGCAGAAATCTCACTGTCCTTGTTATTCCATATGGATTTGGGATTCTTCTCTGCTCTAATCCCCCCCACCCCCAAAGAGTTTCCGAGTTTGGGAATGGCCGTGGCAGTGGGGTAAGAGTTAAGAATAATCTCATTCCTTGACCAATGAATGTACAGGGGCTTGATTGTGACAGAATGCACGGGAGCACAATCAGCCAGCACTCTGAGGGGGGAAAGTTTAATCTTTATTTCGCAGATCTGCTAGTCCAGGGGAATTCCGGATCCAAAACCTGAACTGAACTCACGGGGAGGCTCTGACCTATGTATCTCCTCCTGTGGCGGCCCCTGAGGGTCCCCGCAGCTCCACCCAAGTCAGTCAGAGTGAGGAAGTAAGGCTAGAGTTTTGACCAGATGCTGAACTAGCTTACAACCCTTCTACCCCCACCCCCATTTTCCTTTTCAGCTTATGCCCCTACTGTGGACATCAGGACATGGGGAAGCCATCAACTGGCAGACAAGCCCCAGGTGGGAGCTATGGTAAGGCAGAGTCCCCTTCGTTTCTCTGTTTCTGAGATCAACTAGCAGTGTTTCCCAAACTTTTGACATACGTGTACCCCTTCTATAATTTTCGTAACGCTGAGTACCCCTCGTACTCATGAGAACGTAGAATTAGGCACAGCTAAGCACAGTGCAGTGCATATCCCCACCAAACTCCGGAGTACGCGTACCACACATTGGGAAACACTGAACTAAAGAGACTAAAAGGACACAAAGGGGATGCACAGTTTCTGAGGTGGAAGGGGGTGAGGGCTGCCACACTCAGGAGTCATTGTTTGCTGATGAGTCTCAGAGATTCAGAGTGAGGTTTCCACTTTTCATGGTGGGTGACGTATATACACTGAGTGGCTAGATTATTATGATCTCTAAACCCATAATAATATGGTCACTCAGTGTATATCCTATATAATAAAAGGCTAATATGCAAATTGTCCCCTCGACCAGGAGTTTGACCAGCAGGCAGACCGGCCAATTGCCCATGTTCCCTCCCGCTGGCCAGGCTGGCTGGACTCCACCCCTGCACAAATTCATGCACCGGGCCTCTAATCTGAGTGGCCAAATTATTATGCATTCAGAGATCATAATAATCTAAACACTCAGTATATTTCAATACTGATTATGTGCAGATGCTATTAATGAGGCAGAAAAAGAAAAAATGTGTTGTTGTTGTGCTAGAGTGCTCTGAGACTTGATACTCATATTTCTGCTAGAGCCTGGGAGAAACTGCTTTTCTAAAGCAGCTTGTAGTTTTCTGATTTTTAAAAATCCTAACCTGAGGATATATTTTTTAAATTGATTTTTAGGGAGAGAAAGGAGGAGAAAGAAAAACATCAACTGAAGCTCAATCTGAATATTCCCTGTAAGTAAAATTCCAGCAAAGAAGACCTGAAAGAGCCTATGTAATCCATTACTATTCTTGTTGTATTCATGCAAATAATCAGACCATATTAAAACTAGATATAATGCTCTTTGATAAAAAAAAGAAAAAAGAAAAAAAAGAGGGTAATTTTAGGAGGGAAAATGTGTTTCAATAGACTCCACAAACACAGTTGTAAATGTTAAGACTATAATTCAGTTGATTATCTTCAAAGTTTTATTTTTCACCCATGAACTAAACTAGATCTTGATTTTGATCTAGTTCTATTAAATATTTTATTACAGCTCTCCAAATTAATGTTTCATTTTTCTCTCATCCCGAGTTGAAATTATTAACAACTGGAACTTTTCCTTTTATTGGACTATTTGTCATAATTCTTGTTATTCTAGCTTTCGTCCCAATAATATCAAAATTTATAAAAGTTTGTATCCACCAGGTTACAAGTCCTACTTGTACTCAGAAAATACCACCCCTACACACTATCACAACCTCCTTTAGTGCTCAGACCTCATCATCCCTCTACCGAGAGCAAGGATCTGAAGGAAAGAAGGCTCTATGCCCCCTTTTTTCTGAAAAAATTCAGTGGCAAAAAGTCCTTGAAGGGGGCTGTTAGACCCCCAGAGCAAGGATGATGGGCCAATAGGGCAGAAAGCTTCAGATGCCTCCCTTGGGGCAAAACTGGGAAAACAAGAACCTTGCCCCCAGGCAACCCATCCTCCCCCAGCACATCACTGGTCATACTGTTTGTACCCTGGATCTTTCATATCACTGGTCAGGCGGTTTAGACCCTTAATCTTTTCCTCCCTAAAGATAACATTTAGGCCTGTTGTATTTCAGCTTCAGGTCCAGAGAAGTAGCAAAACCAGACAAGTGACACAATGGCTGCCTCAGGATCAGCTAACTTGACAAATGACCTCCTGCCCTGGCACAGACCAATCAATGGAGAGCACCCCTGGAAAGCTGATGAGTATTTTATTAAGATCCTCCCCTGAGAAATTCCCTAAGATTTCCACCTGCAAGAAAGAGATAAATACACTCAGGACAAAGGATCCAGTGCATGCTCTCCCTCTGAGGAGTACCCCTGTGCCATTCCCCCACAGGACCATATCCCCTAACCTCTACACCAAGGGACCCCATGAGACTTGCAAGCAGAGGAGCAATGGACAGGGGCTGCTCATCCTGGGCCAACCCCCTGCACCTGTCACCAAGGCCCCTTTTTCTCTGTGTAGCCCTTTCTGTTGGATAGTCCCACCTTCCATCCCCCTTTCCTTAAATAAATTCAGTTTTCTTTAATCACTGCCTGAGATGGCTTTTTAGCCTGCCAGAGTACCACGATATTAACCTTTCAGTTGCCTCCTATACACACCCAACCACGAGATCAAACCTGCAACCTACTATGTGTCCTGCCCAGGAATCAAACTCACAACTTTTTGGTGTACAGGCGACACGCCAACCCATTGAGCCATCTGATCAGGGTTCTGATTTATTTTTTTGAATGAAGACTGCTCTTTTGTTTTGAGGAATCGCTTCCCAATACTTGAATGGAGTTCGTAGTTTGACAAAAACAAAGACCAACTCTTTTTTTTTTTTTTGATAGGAAGTTGATTTATTGGTAGGTGTAAGGTGAGGGCAGCACCGAGACTCTTAGGCGTGCAGGGCTCGCCATTTCTCCAGGGGACCATGGTTAGGGATGTATTTGACCCCACAGCCATCTGGGATGAGGCGCTTCTCGGCCACCATATCTTCAAACCCATCCACATTAAACTTAGTAAAGCCCCACTTCTTGGAGATGTGGATCTTCTGGCGGCCCGGGAACTTGAACTTGGCTCTGCGTAGGGCCTCAATCACATGCTCCTTGTTCTGCAGCTTGGTGCGGATGGACATGATGACCTGGCCGATGTGGACTCTGGCCACTGTGCCCTGGGGCTTCCCAAAGGCACCCCGCATCCCCGTCTGGAGCCTGTCGGCCCCAGCACAGGACAGCATCTTGTTGATGCGGATGACGTGGAAGGGGTGCAGCCGCACTCGGATGTGAAAGCCATCTCTGCCGCAGCTTTTCACCATGTACTTGTTGGCACAGATACGGGCAGCCTCCAGGGATTCGGAGGAGAGCTGCTCATATTCGTCGGACACCATGTGGCCACACAGTGGGAACTCATCCACTTTCACCTTCTTCCGCCCCAGGTCAAAGATGCGGATCTTGGCATCCGGGACGCCTCGGCAGAAGCGGGACTTCGGGTACGGCTTGTTCTTACAATACCGGTAACACCGGGCGGGCCGGCGACCCATGGCGACACCAGGACCTTCAGGGGCACGCTGAAGGGAAAGAGCAAAGGCCAACTCTTATTAAAATGGAATGGGCAGTTGGGACATCGCTAAACTGCTCTGCCTAAAAAAAAGCCAGCATTAATCTTTATTTTTAAATATATGTTATTGATTTTTTACAGAGAAGGGAGAGGGATAGCTACCCTGTTTCCCCGAAAATAACAGTGTCTTATATTAATCTTTTTCTCTAAAAGTTGCGCTAGGTCTTATTTTCAGGGGATGTCTTATCTTTCCATGCACTAGGTCTTATTTTCGGAGGATGTCTTATTTTCGGGGAAACACGGCAGTTAGAAACATCGATGAGAGAGAAACATTGAAGAGCTGCCTCCTGCACACCCCCTACTGGGGATGTGCCTGCAATCATGGTACATGCCCTTGACCGGAATCGAACCTGGAATCCTTCAGTCCACAGGCCGATGCTCTACCCATGAGCCAAACCAGTGAGGGCCAGCATTAATTTTAAATTATGAAATGGGTTGGGGTGCAGGTGGGAGGGAAACTCTTTTCTGTTGGTGGCTGGTAAAAGATGATTAGAAGCTGAAACTGGTTTGGCTCAGTGGATAGAGCATTGGCCTGCGGACTGAAGGGTCTCAGGTTCGATTCCAGTAGGGGGCATGTACATTGGTTGTGGGCACATCCCTGGTGGGAGTGTGCAGGAGGTGGCTGGTCAATGTTTCTCTCTCTTCGATGTTTCTAGCTCTCTATCCCTCTCCCTTCCTCTCTGTAAAAAATCAATAAAATAAAAAAATAAAAATAAAAAAAGATGTTGAGAAGAGTGGAAAGATGACCTTGGGGAAGGAAGTCGTCTGGGGAGGCCATGGGCTATAGATGCTGTACTTGCAATAGCCACCTCTAAATCTAGGCTTTGTAATTCTATTACTGTATTCTCAAACTTTTAGTGGTAGCTGTGTACAGAAACTGCCCCTCTGCCCCAAGCCGGAGTAGGTGGGTAGCTAGTGGGTCTGAAGCTTTAGGGAGTGGCTTGCAGCAGAATTTCAGAATATTATTTTTTGAATAAAGGATGAACAAAGACAACTGTCTTGTAATTTATAATCTCCTCTCTCCCAGGAGACCTCTTTGGGGGGAGAAGGGGAGGTTTGGCGCTGGTTCTCAGACCCCGGTTCAAATTCCAGCTTGCTTTATAACCTTAGGCACATTTACTTAATCGGCCTGTACCACGAATTCCTTATTTATTAAAAAAAAAAAAAAAGGGGGGGGGGGACGCACAAGATTCTCCATTGCCTGTGGCTGCTGGGAGAAAAGAAGGCGACAGTGCCTGGCAAGTACAAGGCATAAGCAAAATGAAGGGCTCCTACCGCGGTAAACATTTGTTAATCCATCGGACCTACCTTTATCGTGCGCACCCCAATGTTTGCGGAGCTCGTCCCGCGCTTCGGGCTCTCGGAGCGCTCCCTCCTCGGCGAAGGAGCCTCACGTGTAGTGTGTGGGCCTTGTCCCGCTGGCCGCCTCGCGATTGGCTCCGCCGGAGGAACAAGCCCCACCCCCTCCCTGTCGATCTCACCCCTGATTGGGCCGGGGCCAGCCCTAGGGCGCGCGTGCGCGAAACGAGGACGAAGATGCCTTCCGGTCGGGAGGGAGGAGGTGACGTTGGGAGCGGAGGCCGGCTGGATCCTCCGGGAGCCCTGGGGACGTTGTATGTGTGGGCCTGCCGATCGCGTCACCAGTCGGCGACTGCGCCTTGGCTGTGGTGGCCGAGGCGGCGGAGGCGAAGGCGGCAGCGGCGGCGACAGCTCTGGGGTTTGCGTCTCGGGGTGTGTCGGCCGCCGCTGCTGCTTCGGCTTGGTATGTACAAATGGCTGGTTAGGATTCTCGGCACCATTTTCCGCCTCTGCGACCGGTCGGTGCCCCCTGCTGCCCGGGCCCTGCTCAAGAGACGGCGCTCGAACAGGTGAGCGGAGAGGGGCCCGAGGGGCGGCCTGGCCGGGCCCGGGCCCGGTCCCCTCCCCCATCCCGGGCCCGGCCCGGTCGCGAGCGCCGATCGCGCCCGGAGGCCCCGAGCGCGTAGCTGGGCCGCGGAGGCCGAGGTGCGGGTCGCGGGTGGCCGGGTGACGTAGTTGCCTCCTCCGCCCTGGGCCGCTGCGGCTCCCGGTGATGGGAGATGCTGGCTGTCTGGAGTGGCAGGTGATGGCGTGTTTTTCCGAGCCCACGCTGCCTGTCCACAAATGGGGCTTTATCATACTTGGCTGCTCTTAGGTGGAAAACTAACAATTTCATTTTTTTTTTTTTTTTTTGGCTCGCTGTTTACAAAGCGCACTCCCAGGTGCCATCTGCGGGCAGTAAGTGCAGTGAAGGGAAGTGAGGTTGATAGCTTGCCCAAAGCCGTGTTGACTGCAAATACTGTTCTCTCAGCACCGAAACAGCAGCTGTCTTGTTCTGAAACAAACTGTGTGTGTGTGTGTGTTTGTGTCTGGGGAGAGAGGGAGAGAGATTCTTAGCATCAGCATTAGGATATGAGGGGAGGGGTGGGTAGGTACTTCATTTCTTTAAAAAGATCGCTCGTCTGTACTCATAAGTTAAAATTTTGGGGAAACTAAAAGCTGTTTTAACTTAGCATTTTACCCCTTGGTTTATGCCTTAATAGTGCATGCCTAAGACTTAATCTAGAAAATAAAATACCATAACAGTTCTTTACTTCCCCCCACCCCCCAGTCATCAAACGTCGCGATCATTTAAAAAAAAATTATTATTAAGCCTCAAGATCATTGAAAGGTGGTTTCTTGGAGTGTGAGAGAACAAGAGGATTAATACAGGAATCTGAGAATGCAGGTCATTGATGAAATAGACTGTTAGCTAAATTCCATTATGTGTTCAGAGGGTAGGGTTTCAACTTATTATTCCTTTCAACTTTCTGTAGGGTTGATATAAAGCTCATTTGAGAGCATTTTGTAAAGTGCCTAGCATTATACTTTTAAGTATGAGTAGTATATATTTTTATAAGTAGCATTTGTTTATTCTACCCAGAGGGCCTTGTTGCAGAGGTTGTGGGGCATGATAGGCAGTTGGTATATATTTATTAAATAAGGGAATATTAATTTGCTCTCCCCTGTCCTCTCTCTTTTTGCTACCAATTCCTGCTAGTCAGGGGAACAGTGGTTGGAGATGGAAATACTATTCTTTACTGCCCATCCTTAATCTAAAACAACTCTTCTCAATGTAAGCCATTTTTTCAGTCAAAATGAGGCCAGGAGATCTTGGGATGTTTAAAATAATGAACTAAATTGTATTATCTTAGGATTTAGTTTGCTCATTTTTTTGTAAATATGGTCAGTCACAATCATCTTTAGATGATTACTAGTGTATCGTGAAGCTTTAATATTGTTGCGGTAAAGGTCCTGTAAACTTTTCTGAATTTTCAGATATTTTATTATCACTGTAATATAGTGTCCATGAAAAAAAAAATGCAGTTAAATATTACAGCTTTCTGACTAAGAACTCTCTTTCATGGCTTCTTATATTGTCTACTTCTACCTGAGATAGAAAATAACTGGGAAGGGGGGATGCTGGTTTTTTAAGTCATTTCTGGAGAGAAGAAGGAAATAACTAGTCCTAAGCCCTTAACCTATGTTCATTTACTAGCTAAGTGATTTCTGACCAGTTTCAAGTTTGGACTTTAGCCAGATTACAGATACTACATGATAGTCTCTTTCAAATAGTTGAAATCATAGTGTTAAGTCCTACTATGGGGAAACATTCCCTTTATTGTACTTTTAAAAAATATATATTTTATTGCTTTTTTACAGAGAAGAAGGGAGAGGGATAGGGAGCCAGAAACATTGATGAGAGAGAAACATTGACCAGCTGCCTCCTGCACACCCCCTACCAGGGACATGCCTTGACTGGAATCAGACCTGGGACCTTTCAGTCCCCAGGCCGACGTTCTATCCACTGAGCCAAACAGGTTTCAGCTATTGTACTTTTTTTATTTTTTGTTTCTTAATTGGTGTTAGAGAGGAAGGGACAGGGAGAGAGAGTGGAACATCAGTTGGCTGCCTCCTGCACAACCCATACTGGGGTTTGAGCGGACCCAGGCAATGTGCCCTGACCAGGAATTGAACCGACAACCTCTTGGTGCATGGGACAATATTCAACCAACTGAGCCACAACTACCAGGGCAGTTAGCATTCTCTTTTAAAACATCAGTTTGGTCGCATTTTATGACAAAGTGGATAGAGGGAGGTATGTTATTTAAACGCTAAGTTTACTTATAGAAATGGTTATGTGTGTGTATATAAGTACATATGTGTATTTGTATATATATATGTATATATGTATTTCTTTTCTTTTGTTTCAGCACTCTGTTTTCTACAGTGGACACTGATGAAATACCAGCCAAAAGACCAAGATTAGGTATTGATTATTAATTTTAAAAATTAGTGTCTTAATAGAAAAACTGTAACAGAATTTAAAAGCTAAAAAGTATATGCAGTGAAAAGTAAGCCTCTTTCCCATTCCTTTTCTACTCAGTTATCTTTTCTGGAAGTAACTGGGGAATTAAGTGTGTTTCTAGATAAGATAAGCCTATACATTGAATACACATTTTTAAAGCTTTTTTAAAATATACATTTTAAAATTCTAAATCTTTATATAAGGAAAAATTGCTTTGCCCTATCCCTGTGGTCGGCAAACAGCGGCTTACAAGCCACATGTGGCTCTTTGGCCCCTTGAGTGTGGCTCTTCCACAAAATACCATGGCCTAGGCGAGTCTATTTTTTGAAGAAGTGGCATTAGACGAAGTTGTACTATTGATATTTTGCTCTGTTGACTAATGAGTTTGCCGACCACTGCCCTAGCCAGTTTGGCTCAGGCCTGCAGACTGAAGGCTCCTAAATTTGATTCCTGTCAAGAGCATGTACCTTGGTTGCAGGCTCTTTCCCTTGCCCTGGTCAGAGCATATATAGGAGGCAACCAATCGATGTTTTGCTCTCTGTCTCTTCCCCCACCCTTCCACTCTCTCTGAAAAATCAATGGAAAAATATTACCCGGTAAGGATTAAAAAAAGAAAAGTTGCTCCCTTTTTTTTTTTTTTTTTTTTTAAAGAAAAGTTGCTTTTTAAATTTGTGGAGGAAACAAAAACTAATTCAAACTAAACCATCTTTTAAAGATAGTGAATCAATCTGATGTGTTTCCTCAAATTGTTTACTTACCTACAATCTGAAGGGCTAGACATTTCATAGAAGAGAATAAAGTTAAACGAAAAGGCACAATGGATTACTATAATATCTTCTTATTACTAAAAAATGCATGTGAATGTGGATCTACCAGCAGATGTGATGGTTAAGAGAAGAAACAGCCGTAACCGATTTGGCTCGGCTCAGTGGATAGAGTATTAGCCTGCAGACTGAAGGGTCCCAGGTTCAAATCCGGTCAAGGGCACGTACCTTGGTTGTAGGCATATCCCTAATAGGGGGTGTGCAGGAGGCAGCTGATCGTTCAGTGTTTCTAACTCTCTATCTCTCTCCCTTCCTCTCTATAAAAAAAAATCAATAAAATATATCCTATCTAACAAAGAGGGAATACGCTAATTGACCATCACTTCATCACAAAGATGGCTGCACCCATAGCTGAGGCCAGGTTCCCATAAGGAGCCTTAACAAGCAATCAGCAGGGACCTGAGGCTACGCCCTTCTCTGCCCTGTGGGGCTTGGCAGGGGACCTCAGGCCACACCCCCTGCCCTGGTGTCAGGCTGGGGGACCTCAGGCGGCCCACCCCACCCCAGTGCCAGGTCACAGGACCTGAGGCCATGCCCCTCTCCCTCCCCCCTGCCCAGAGGGGTTTGACAGGGAACCTCAAGGTGTGCTTCCTGTCCTGGTGCTAGGCTAGGGGACCTCGGGCTGCTCGCCCCCCTCCATCCCCCTGCTCCAGCGCCAGGCAGGGGTACCTCAGGCTGTGCCCGGCACCAGGCAGCACCCCCTGCCTGGTGGGCTTGACTGGACCTTAAACTGTGCCTCTCCCACCCCAGCACCAGGCCAGGGGACCTGAGGTTGCACCCCCCTGCCTGGCTGGGCTTGACAGGGAACCTTATACCGTTCCCCCCCACCCAGCAGGGCTTGACGGGGGACCTCAAGGTGTACCCCCAATGCTGGGTCAGGGGAACTCAGGCTGCACCCCCTTGCCTGGCAGGGCTTGACAGACCTCAGGCCATGCCCTCCATCCAGCGGGGCTTGACAGGGGATCTCAGGCTGTGTCCCACACATGGCGGGGCTTGATGGAGGACCTCAAAGCACGCCCTCTGCTCCGGTCTGGTCTGGGGGACCTCAAGCCACAGCCTCTGTCCTGGTGCTGGGCCAGGGGACCTGAGGCTACACCCCTGCCCGGTCCTGGCCAGGTAGCTTATTTGGTTAGATTAGAGGATTGTCCACATACACCAAGCTTGTAAGTTCAATTCCTAGTCAGGGCACGTACAAGAAGCAACCAATGAATGTATAAGTGGGACAACAAAATTGATGTTTTTTCCTCTCTCCCTCTCTCTATTTCTCTCTAAAATCAATAAGTAAAAATATTTTTAAAAATTACTTTTCAAACACATTTGTTTACCAAAAGAGTCCATTTTAAAGAAAAATATAAGTAACTATGTGGTAAACAAATAACAACATACACAGTGAAATTATAGACATTTCCAGAGATAATTCTGGCAGTCATACATTTTATGGACTTCTATGTTAAGGATCTCTTCCTCCATGATTTCCATGAAATGTGTGTTATGATTTTCTGAATGGAAACTATAGAAGGAAACCTAAGGTAAAGAGGAAGCAGTGAGTAGCAGAGGTAATGCTGGCAGAGTTTGTAAAGGTTTATAGAACTATCTGCCACAATGGCTGTTGAGCCCTTGAAATGAGGTGAGTGCACCTGAATTTATAATTTAATTTTTTTTTAATTTAATAAATCTTTATTGTTCAGATTATTGCAATTGTTCCTCTTTTCCCCCCCAGTTGCCACCCCACCCTCTTCTCTTACCGCCCCCCCCCCAATCCCCACTGTCCTCATCCATAGGTGTACGATTTTTATCCAGTCTCTTCCTGCACCCCACACACCCCTTTCCCCCTGAGAATTGTCAGACCACTCCCTTTCTATGCCCCTGATTCTATTTTATTCACCAGTTTATACTGATCATCGAATTTTTTATTCACTAGATGTTTAGATTCACTTGTTGATAGGTATGTATTTGTTGTTCATAATTTTTATCTTTACCTTTTTCTTCTTCCTCTTCTTACAGAATACCTTGCAACATTTCATATAATACTGATTTGGTGGTGATGAACTCCCTTAGCTTTTTCTTATCTGTGAAGCTCTTTATTTGCCCTTCAATTCTGAATGATAGCTTTGCTGGTAGAGTAATCTTGGTTGTAGGTTCTTGCTATTCATCACTTTGAACATTTCTTGCCATTCCATCTGATCTGCATAGTTTCTGTTGAGAAATCAGCTGACAATAGTATGGGTGCTTCCTTGTAGGTAACTGTTTTTCTCTTGCTGCTTTTAATATTCTCTTTGTCTTTTGCTCTTGGCATTTTAATTATGATGTGTCTTGGTGTGGTCCTCTTTGAATTCCTTTATTTGGGGTTCTGTGCACTACCTGGACTTGTAGGTCTATTTCTTTCACCAGGTGGGGGAAGTTTTCTGTCATTATTTCTTCAAATAGGTTTTCAGTATTTTGCTCTCTCTATTCTTCTGGCACCCCCGTAATTCAGATTTTGGTACGCTTGAAGTTGTCCCAGAGGCTCCTTACATTATCTTCATCTTTTTGCTTTTCTGGTTGGTTATTTTTTGCTTCTTTGTATTTCAAATCTTTTTTTTTTTTTTTAAATATATTTTATTGATTTTGTACAGAGAGAAAGGGAGAGAGATAGAGAGAAACATCGATGAGAGAGAGTCATCGATCAGTTGCCTCTTGCATCCCCCCCCACCACTGGGGTTATGCCCGCAACCAAAGTACATGCCTTTAACCGGAATCGAACCCGGGACCTTTCGGTCCCCAAGCCGATGCTCTATCCATTGAGCCAAACCGGTCTCGGCTATATTTCAAATCTTTGACTTGATTCTTAGGATCCTCTAGTCTGCTGTTGGATCTCTGTATAACATTTTTTATTTCAGTCAGTGTATGTTTAATTTCTAGTTGGTCCTTTTTCATATCCTTGAGGGTCTCACTAAATTTATCGCCCTTTACTAGAAAATTCTTGAAAATCTTGTCACTGTGGTTTTGAACTTTTATATCCAGTTGTTCGCTTTCCTCCATTTCTTTCATTTGTGACCTGTTTCTTTGTCTTTGTATTTTGGCTGCTTCCCTGAGTTACAAGGTGGCTTTGTGTGCTAGGTGTCCTATAGGGCCCAGTGGCTCAGCCTCCTCAGTTACCTGAGGTGGACACTTTTGGTGCACCCTTTTGTGGGCTGTGTGGACAGTCTTGTTGTAGTTAAGCCTTGATTGTTGTTGGCATCACTGGGGTAATTGACCACCAGGCCAGTTGACTGTGGATCAGCTGTGTCTATGCTGGGAGAACTTCTGTGTTGGAGACACCCTTATGAGACAAGACATGCAAAAGCCTCTGTGCTCAGCTTGGATGGGGCGGAGTCTCAGGGCAAAGAAGACAGCATTGGCTTCCTGTCAGCCCTGCCCTAAGAGGACCCTGGATCTCAGTGTCCCGTGGAAATCACTGCAAGCTTCTCAAGAGAAAGCTGCCCTTAAGTTTCACCTGCTGCCAGATAATCCATTTTCTCCCTTAATGAGTCTGGATCCCCAGAATCTTGCCCAGAACTGGAATTCAGAGCAGTTGGGAGGTTTTGTCTCCCTCCCTCTTAAGAAAGCCAGCCACATACCCAGTTGCCGGCCCTCTCTGTGCGTGGGCTTCGGTACCTCTGCCTTCTGCAGCTCCTCTGAGTGTCAGTGTGCTTTTCTCTTTCCTTCTAATTGTAAATTCCCACTCAGCCAGCCTTCCTGTGGTTCTGGATGATGTCCGTTTTGTCTTTTAGTTGTAGTTTTGAAATTGTTGTGCCAGGCAACAGTTTAGGTGTTTACCTATGCCACCATCTTGTTCCTCCTCTGAAATTATAATTTTAATTAAATTGAAATTTGTGTAACTTACATGTAGTAGGGGCTACTATATGGCAGTACAGCTCTATTGGTTCCTTTTCAGAGAAAAAAAAGGAAGGCTTAAAGAAAAGGAGGACCTTAGAATATAGACTCATAACTTATAGAAGAAAAGGATCTTAAGAGATCTTAGGTTAATCTCATGGAAATAAAGTGGTCTTACCTCATTTTATAGATGAGGTAGGCCTTTTTTTGTTTGAACTCTATGTGAACTTTTGTCATAATCTTAGGCATACTCAGATTTTGACAAAATTTGTTGGAAAATATTATTTTACTTTTTAGTGTCCATTATTTAACTAAGTTGTTAAGGGTACCTCTTTTAAAAATATGTTTTAATTGATTTTTTAGAGAGAGGAAGGGAGAGAGAGAGAGAAATAGAAACATCCCTAGTGGGGGATTGAGCCTGCAACCTGGGTATATACCCTGACTGGGAATCGAACTGGTAACCTCTTGGTTCATAGGTCACTGCTCAACCACTGAGCAATAGGGCCGAGTAAGAGTACCTCTTGTCCTCTGATTAACTGTAGGTTAATCACCAATCCCTAAAGCTGTTTTTCTCCCACATAAAGTTCACATTATTAGAAGGGTAACCTGGAATTCTTTCTAATTCCTAAAATGAGAAACAGGATATTTTCAAATTTTGTTTCTTTTAACTGTGAAACAGGTCATTTTCAAACTAGTTCTTTGAACTATTCTATAGTTTCAGATTGGATTCTGCTTTACCCAGCTGTCACATCCTCCCTGCTGTTTAAGTTATTTCACTATCTTTTTGGAAATTATTATATATCTTATCTGTTCTGGAGTGCTTGTTGCTTAAAAGCCACCATCACAGTTTCAGGCTGTTTTTCTCTAAAGCAGAATATGGCTAAGGTGATGATCTCTTTCTTTCATACCAGTGCTTTAGAATACTCTTACTTAGGAAACTGTAGAAAATAAGTCATCAGTATAGGAAGTAAGAAAGGGGTAGTGATAAAAAGAGGAAGTTTTTTTTAACAAATTTACCCCTCCCGCTTGTTTGTTTACTTGCTTATTTTGTAATCTTTGTATATGGTGGCAGGGTGGGGTGAGCCTGACACATTTTTTCCAGTAGAGGGATAGCCTTGTTTTATCATAGATATTTAAGAATTTCATATCTAATATTCCAGTAATTTCTACCTTGGCGTTTAGTAGGTAGCTTTTTAGGACAACTATAACATTACCTGCCTTGGAAGTAAGACCAAACATATGAGTAAATGAAGTGTTTCCTATAGGATTCTGCCATGCCTAGTGACTATAAACTCTAGGTTGTTAAGTTATGTTCGTGACCCTAGAATATAGATTTCTTTTATTTATATACTAGAGGCCCAGTGCACGGGGTGGAAGGAGGTGAGGAGGGAAGAGGAGGAGGTTGTCCCTCAGCCCAGCCTGCACCCTCTCCAATCTGAGGGATGTCTTACCCTCCATTTAGACCCGATCTCAGTGGGATCGGGCCTAAACGGGTGGTTGGACATCCCTCTCACAATCCAGGACTACTGGCTCACAACCACTTGCCTGCCTTTGCCAGATTGCCCCTAACTGCTCTTGCCTGCCAGCCTGATCACCCCCTAACTGTTCCCCTTCCAGCTTGATCAACACCTAACTGCTCCCTGGCCAGCCCGATTGCCCTAACTGCTTTCCCCTGCTGGCCTGGCACCTTTAACTGCCCTCCCCTGCAGGCCTGGTCCCCCACAACTGCCCTCCTCTGCTGGCCTGGTCACTCCTAACTGGCCACAACTGCCCTCCCTATAGGCCATCTTGTGGCAGCCATCTTGTGTCCACATGGGGGCAGCAATCTTGTGTCTTGGAGTGATGGTCAATTTGCATATTACCCTTTTATTAAATAGGATATTGATTTCAGAGAGGAAGGGAGAGAGAGTTAGAAACACCGAGGATGGGAGAGAATCATTGATGGGCTGGCTGCCTCCTGCACTCCCCTCACTGGGGATCGAGTCTGCAACCCAGGCATGTGTCCTGCAACAGAATCAAATAGAGGGCCCTGTAGTCTGCAGATCGATGCTCAGGCTACTGAGCCAAACCAGCTATGGCTCTTTTTGTTTTACATGGGAGAAATCATTGCTTGAAAGCTGTCCTTTCAGGACTTTTGTGTGTGAATCTGTGTGATAGTTTCATATTTTTGTAGCATCCCAGATACCTTACTAAAAATACAAAAATCACAGTGCTGGAATTTCAGTTATTCAAGTAGGAGAAAAAATTTTTTTACAGGTGACTTTTTATATCAGTGATTGAAAATAGGACTTCTAATAAAAATTGAGAGGCCTTTCTTAGATACAATCATACTGTTATTTAAAAAATATGAAATTCGTGCACTTGGAGGCAGAGGGTCCCTCAGCCCGGTCTGCGCCCTCTCGCAGTCTGGGAGCCTTCGAGGAATGTTTGACTGATGGCTTAGCCAGCAATTGGACATTCTTAGTGCTGCTGCAAAGGCAGGAGTCTTCCCTCACTGCCGCTGCTCTCTCCAGCTGTGAGCTCCGCTTCTGGCTGAGTGGTGCTCCCCCTGTGAGAGCACAGTAACCACCAGGGGCAACTCCAGTGTTGAGCATCTTTCCCCTGGTGGTCAGTCCGCATTATAGCAACTGGTAGTTCTGCCTTTTGGTTGATTTGCATATTAGCCTTTTGTTATATAGGATGTTTTTTATTGATTTCAGAGAAGCAGAAGGGAGAAGGGGAGAGAGATAGAACATCAGTGATAAGAGAGAATCAATGATATGCCTTCTGCATGTCCCCTAATGGAGACCAGCCCGTAGCCTGGGCATGTGCCCTGACCAGGAATTGAACTGTGACCGCCTGGTTCCTGGGTCGACACTTAACCTGTGAGCCACACCGCTGGGCTGTAACCTTTTTTTTTTTTTTTTTTGCCATAAGTTTATTACTCTAAGTTTATATGTATATGTAATCTATGTTACACTTTCTAGATTGCTTTATTCACCAAGTGAAAAACAGTCTCTACAATGCTGCCAGCTTGTTTGGATTCCCATTCCAGCTGACCACAAAGCCCATGGTAGCTTCTGTAGCTTCTGCTTGTAACGGAACACGGAATGCGGCCCCTTCAGGAGAGGTCAGTGGGGATAGGACTCCTTTGGGACTACTGATTTTGGTACTTAATCATTGAAAGTATACTTTGGAAATATTCTCATTTTGGGCATTAATGTGTAGAATGATTTCTATGCAGAAATATGCATGTGTTTATTAGCCTTGATATATAGGCCCAAAATTTAAAAGTTTAAGAAATTACACTTTTAAAAGAAATTACATATTTAAGAAATAATTATAAAGAGCTTAATTACTGAATAATAAGTATGTTTGGAGACCTTGGAATTGTTAAATTTTTACTTCATTTTGTGAGTCTTCACAAATTAAATGTCAGATTTTATTGATAATATCTCTTCTGTGAGCTTGCACCAATAGAGTGATTTTTATTTTTTCATATTAGAAACTTACTTAAATTCTAAAATTATATACTACAGAGGTTATTTTATTTGATTTTAAGGTATTTTCGAACTCTTCATCTTGTGAACTGACAGGTTCCGGATCCTGGAACAACATGCTGAAACTGGGTGAGGTGGATAAAAATAGTTCTGTTTTCCCCTTCCTCCTCCTGCTTCTTTTTTCTGAGTTTTGAGAATATAAAAGAACACTGCTTTGATATGAAAACACAGACATTCTCTCTGTCGTTCTAAAAGGCAAATGCTTTCCTTTACAATTGTTTTTGAATTTACTGTTGTGTTTTCTATTTGGAATATCAGTGTCCATAATGTGACTTAGATCAAATTTCATTCCTTAAAAACAACAACACACAAACATTTCCTGAGTATTTACTCTGTGCTAGGCACTATGCTAAGTTATTACAATACTAACAAAATAATAAAACCCTTAATAACAAAACAAATAGCAATAATAACAAAAATAGGAAAACTGCCTTAGAAGGACTTTTTTATGTGTGAATCTGATTGGGGAGCAACCTTAGGTCTCCAGTTCTCAGCTCTATGGATTGGGAACCTCTATATCATCCAGACCCCAAAATTGAATTGTTAATTTTTTTTAATATACTGTGCACAGTGCTGGGGGGAGTTGGGGGGTAGTGGGGAGAAGAGGATAGGGAGAAACCAGGGTCCTAAAAATGGTATGATCTCTGCCAAGCAGGTTGGTATGTAAAGTTTGAGAGGAAGGGGAAAAGAGCTTTTAGAGAAGTTGTGGATTTAGAAGTCAAAAGTAGAAGAAGCTAAGGAAATGATAAAAACCTTACAGTAGTGCTTCTTCAAACAAACTTTATGTAAAGTACCTCTAGTGGCAGATGAAAGGAGAGTAAATGTGTACCCCCAAGTCTGAGAATCTAGTTCCAAGGGATCTAGGGACAAAGATGATACTTCTTTGAAGCCTTTCATTTTATTTAAAAAACGAATACAAATTAGATTTCATAATCTATTTATATTGTTTGACTATATAAATGCTTAAAATTATTTACCATTAAAATTGACATAGAAGAGCTAGTAGATATATCCTTCCTGAGGCATCAGCAGTATAGTTGTGTGGTCTAGTGAGAGAAGCACAGGTATCCCTGGGCAGGTTTCTAATGTAAAAAGTCCACAGCCTCTAATCTGAAGCCCTTAGAAATGTGTTTAGGGATTCTGAATTTATCCTATTTTAGATTGTGTTTATTGAATATTATTCTAAAAACCCATTGGGTTTGAACATTGGTTCAAGTCAGATTTTGCAAACAAATGAATTTGGTCAGTTTAGGTTTTGCTGCTACAATTGCATTTTGTAGTTCTTAGGCAATCCAAGCCTAAGAAATAGCTCCTAAGAAAATGTGGCTAATGAAAATTTGGTTACCATATTTTGAAGTATAATAACCACCTCCTAAGCTTCCAGTGAAATGTAGTAACATATGGCAGGTTTTCACTTAAAAATACTTCTGTTTTCTTGAGAGGAAAAAGAAAACTTGAAAAATTCTCTTAATTTGATTAGGTTGTAGGGAATTTTATAATCATTAAGTTCTTCATGCCTCTGTTGGTCCCAGCAAGCAAAACTAGGAAAGCTTCCCTATGAATTGTTATTGCTTATCTGAAACCAAAGACAAACTAAGCACTATTGTTTTTCCTTTAACCTTACAAAGTTAATTCTGATCTCTGTGCTGTATAGTAATAGAATTTGAAAAAAATAACATATATGGTTCTGCAGTGTAGACTGATCACACAGTTTCTTTTCTAATGCAGTATTCACAAATGTTTTTTAATTTATTTATTTATTAATTTATTTACTTATTTACAATTACAAATGCATTTCTAAAATAGGTAATAAATCTCCTAATGGAATAAGTGATTATCCAAAGATCAGAGTGACAGTAACTCGAGATCACCCTCGCAGAGTCCTACCTTCCTTTGGGTAAGTGTTAAATTCTGCCTTTTTTACATGGAAACTTAGCACATATTAGGTGCTCGCTCTTGCTAGACATTCACACTTTTTCCTATTATGTAATCTTGTTAAGTACTCGAGCTTGCCGAATATCATGCAGCTAGTGAAAAACTTGAACTCAGGTGTATGTTACTTTTTCTGCCATATTATATGCCCATAGCATCTGATTTTGAAAACCTTTTGAAAAAGAATTGCCATTCAATTATAAACTTTTTAAAAAGTTTAATATGCATGCAGAAAAGTATGGAAATAAGTGTCTAGCCTGATGAATTTTCATACACTGAACTGTTTTGGTTTTTTTTGTCATTACAGTAATTCTCCTTTTTGTGTTCCTATTTTCTAGAATTTCTACTACTTGGATATTAAACCTTTTTAAAAAAAAATTTGACCTTTTGCATTGTCCTAATTTTTCTATAAATTCTCTTCTGTTATCCTTGCCCTTTAAAAAGAAATCTTTTACTGATTTCTTTGAGGAGGGGCTTCATAGTTTTTAAGTTGTAACCATCCTCCCTTTCCCTTCTCCCCATGGTTTTTCTTTCTCCAAGCCTCTTGTTCTTATTGTAAGGATGCAATATCTTTTTTTCTCTAAAGCTGTTAATTATTTTAAAATTTCTTCTCCCTGCTTTTCTGCTTCCCCTAAATTCCTTGTTCCCTTTGGTTAACTTTTTATCTTTTTAAAAAATATCTATATATTATATTAATTTTTTACAGAGAGGGAGAGGGATAGAGCGTTAGAAACACGATGAGAGAGAAACATTGATCAGCTGCCTCCTGCATGCTCCCCACTGGGTATGTGCCCCTAAGGTATACGCCCTTGACCGGAATTGAACCTGGGACCCTTATTCTGCAGGTTGACGCTCTATCCACTGAGTCACACCGGTTAGGGCTGTTTTTTTATCTTACGTTTCATATTAGAGTCTATTCAAATAATGGTTATCCTTGGCAATACGCTCATATTTAAGAATGAGACACTAACTAAAAACTGGTTTTCTGGAGTTGGATAAATGGTTGGTTGATTGTAGAGCTAGGAAGGAAAATACAAAATGAATTTGTCATGTCTTGTGCCAGAAATAAAGTAATGTTCAGAAACTGGGGACATGTCAACATGACACAGGAGGAAACTTGAAGGGGCTTTCACTGGCCAAATTGGGAACAATTTAAACATCAAAATGAGTAAAGACAGGCTATAGGTCCTATAAATAAATATATACTGTGAGAGGGAAAGATCTTTATAGTAGGATGCCAACTAGTAAGTGTACAGGGAATGATCGAATTAGAAAATGGCCGTTTTGTAACTATTATAGTAATTGATATTATAGGAATCAATTGAGCTGAACCTAGTAAGTAAAAGTTTGATGAGGAATGGGATACTTATATATACACAAAATATCTCCCCACAAATTACTTATTAATTATAAAGGGAAAATAATAACTTTAGGATAAAGAAAACTGCTTGACAACTCCACCTTAAGGAAAGGAACAAAGTTAAAGCAATCCACAGTGAGACAAAGAGACATTGTGGTCTCCAGATAGATTGCGCTGAAGACATGAGTTAATTCATATTCCTGCAAAAATCAATCAGAGTCTAAGAATAAGAAACCTGATTAAGGCCTGTATTTTCAGATGAAGAAAAGCTAAAGAACTTTCAGTTTAAAGGAGACTAAAGATACATGACAACTAAATACAATGTGAGCTTCTTCATTGGATTCAAGATAGTAAAAATATTGCAGTGGAGGATACTTTTAATGTCTTTGGAGAAATTTAAATGTGGCTACATATTACATATTGTGTCATTGCTAAAGTTCCTGGGTTTTGATGACTATTATGGTTATATAAAAGATGTCCTTGTTCTTGGGAGAGACTTGAATATTTAGAGGTGAACTTATTTTCTAAGCACTTAACGCTATAATTATCTCTATAAGCATTGCTTCAACTGCATCCCATTCATTTTGAAAAATTGGTTTTAATTTTTATTCAATTTAAAAATAGTTTCTAATTTCTGTTGTACTTTCTCTTTAACCCGTGATTAATCTGAAGTGTAGAATTCTGTTGTTTAATATCCAAATATTTGGGACTTTCCAGACATCTTTTAGTTATTTAGTTTAACTACATTGTGATCAGATAATATACTTAGTGTGATTTCAGTTCTTTTAAATTTTAGCATTTGTTTTGTGGCCTAGAATATGGTCTATATGGATGATGTCCAATGTGTACCTGAAAAGAATGTTGAGTGGAGTATTCTATAAATGTCAGCTCAAGTTGTTGATGTTGACAGGTCTTATTGGTTTCTAACTTTTTTATTGATTGATGAACAAGGAGTATTGATGTTTCCTGCTGTGATTGTAGGCTTATTTCTTAATCCAGTTAGGGCTGTTTTTGTGTATTTTGGCCTTTTTTTTTATAGAGAGGAAGATCCAGATTCACCAGTTTCATCATTTTGCCAATTTCTTTATCATTTTCTGTCATATGTACATAATATTTTTTTCTCAACTATTTGAGAGTCTTAGACTCATGTCCTTTTAATCATAGGTACTTCAGTGCTTTATTTCTTAAGAATGAGGACAATTACTTATGTAATCATAGATTTAAAAAATTAGAAAATTTAATATAATACTATTAGTCTTATTTAAATTTATCTATAATAGAGTATTTTTTTTCTGGTCCACAATTCAGTGTAGGATCATGCATTACGGTTAATTTTCAGTCTTGTTGATCTCTTTTAATCTGTAACAACTCCTCAGACTTCCTTTAATAGCACGGATATTTTTAAAGAGTACAGGGTGGGGCATCTATTATTTTGGTTGGAAAATAGTACAGTAATTAATAAATAATAATAAACTCTGTTTTGCATCCTCACAACAGTAAACCTACTTTCACCCTACCCTACAAAACATTTCTTTTGTAGAATGTCCTTTAATTTTGTCGGATGCTTATTCATGATTTGTTTTAGATTATGCAACCTTTTTTTTTTTTGGTAAAAGTATTATACATGTGGTGATGTCGGTTTGTCCCATTATTGGTGCTGTAGGAGAGGCAGGCTCTTCCACCAGCAACAATGACTAGGGGCTTCATGGCTTTCATTTCTTTAGCAGTTATTCATTTACATTTATTAATTTAGCATCCAGCAAATACCGAGTGCCTTTCGGTTTAGATCCTTTTCTAAGATCCAGTGATGAAACTATGTAATCTCTGTCTCATGAAATTTAAAGTTTGGTGTGAGATATAGACATTAAACAATCACACGATAATTAATTCCAGTGACACCAAGTGAGTAAAGGGAGAGTGCAGCCCAAGGGGAAGGTATGTGAAGTAGGGGAGCTGATTCCAGAGTTGGGGTTGGAAAGTTGGGCTTGAGGAAGAAGGCAGAGGCTCTCATGTAGGAGCCCTGGTGACTGGAAATAAAGTTCCAGAGTGTAATGCTACCTCTACTCTAGAGATAGATCTAACTCTTGTGAATGCTAGTTGTCTGATTTGCCAGGAGCAAGCTTAATCTGGGAAGCCTAATCACAGAATGATCTGAAGCTTAGAATCCAGCAATTTAAGCAGTTTGATGACACATGTTTTTCTTTGTTTGTTTGTTTTTCTGTCTCTCAGTTTTACTTTGAACTCAGAAGGCTATAATAGAAGACTAAGTGGCCGCCGCCATAGCAAAGGCAATCCAGAGAGTTCTTTAATGTGGAAACCTCAGGAGCAGGTGGTAACAGAGATGATGATTGAAGAGGGTGGCAAGGGTCTGAGGCGTCCCCATTGTACTGTGGAGGAGGTAAGCACTACCAGTCTGATCTCTTTTGAAAACTGTTTTATGAATTTGGAGTGGGGAATAAGTAATATATGTACTATAGTATAAAATTCTCAAAAGGTATAAAAGGGTATACAGAGACTATAAATGTCCCAGTCTCACTTCTGTACCTGGCCCTACCACCCTGTTTGACTTTGATACTTCTAGAAATATTCTGTATATATGTAATTAGTCAATTTCCAGATTATTTTCACTATAAGAAAGAAAAAGGAGTCATGTTAGGAAAAGAGAATGGGTTCTTTTTGGGTGCCTGGATTGTTTTATCTTGTTTCCTTTAGAAGCTGTATGTAATAACTGTGACTAAATAAGAGAAGTTCAATGGTGTACATGTCTACTCTTTCCTTCCCTTTTCAGGGCACTTAGCATGATATCTCCATCAACAAGATTCTCTTCACTTCCCTTTGAAGTCTTCACTTATACCTGGAGCATTTAGAATTATTTCTGTATCTGGCATTCCCTAGGACCATCACCTATTGCTACATGGTTCTCTAAGCCAATTAGTTTTGCTCATCTTAGAAATACTTATTTGGGTGCCCAATGTCAGCAATTAGAATGGAATAAAACATGGACCCTGGCCTCTGGGACCTTATACATAAATAGTTGTACTGAACAAACAGAAGTAGGCAGAGAGAGGAAAAGGACTGCAGCCCTGGAGGGGATTTTAAGGAGAGGTATAATAAAATAGCCTTTCAATACCTGTTAGGTGAGACGTCAGAAATGAAACTGAGCACATATAGGGAATACATAGAATGTATTTTAGAAATACTAGAAGGTAATATTAGCAAGGACATATTCATTGGTTAGGTGTGATACAAAGTTATCAGGAAGAGCCTGAGTCCCAGATTTCAGTCTTGAGAAATACGTGCCACTGACCAAGATACCCTGGGTAGTTAGGGGGAATTTAATTCAGTTTTAGACATTGTTTAAAGTGCCTGTGGAACATGCAAAGTGACCTGGCTCAGAGTTTTGAGAAGAAGGCAGGGTTGAAGACATTTCTGAATATTCTGAATATTGGTGTTATATTAAGGGAGCTGAGACATTGTTCAGGGAGAAAATGTAGTGTGAGAAGAGATACTGGGCAGGACCTTTGGCATTTTGGACAGGCAGAAGAAGAAATAATCTGCAATGGAGATTGAGAAGATAAGAAGAAATCAGGAGAGTGTATTGTCCAGGAGGGCAAGGCAAGGTTATCAGAGTGAGATGCTAAAGAGAGAGGTTAATATAATAAAGGCTGAAAAAGTATCTGTTGGATCTGGCCATACAGTGTCATTGGTGACTATGGTGAGACCAGTCCCATTTGGAAACTGAATGTTCTGAATATGCAAGTGGATTATTCTGCTGAGGTTTTGGTCAACCTAGTTCTACTGTCAAAAACTCAGAAGCCACCCAGGTCGAGGAAAGGATGTAAATGAGTGAAATGGGCTAGAGTGAAATGGGCCATCTAAAGGGAATAGCCCTACATAGCTCCAGATTATTGATTTGGTTTTTTAAAAGAGGCTAGATTTTTGGAGATTTTCAATTTATAAAGTTGGTAATTAAAGAAATTTTGACACTCAGTTGGAGCGTCTTCCTAAAATGCCAAAGTCTTAGGTTTGATCCCATCAGGGCTCATGTAAGAATCAACCAACCAATGAATGAGTGCATAAATAAGTGGAGGACAAATTCATGCCCTTCTCCCTCCCCCTCCTCCTCCTCCCTTTCTCCTCTCCCTCCGCTCCCCCTCACTCCCCTCATTAAAAAAATAAACTTAAAGAGCACTGTACTGATCAATAAAACACATCTATGACCTGTTAGGATTTACTTACCGTTTATGTTTAATGTGTTAGAAGTTATCTATCATGCTTTCTTCTATTAAGGGTGTTCAAAAAGAGGAAAGAGAGAAGTACCGAAGGTTATTGGAGCGACTTAAAGAAGGTGTTCATGGAAGCTCTGTTCCTCCTGTCACTTCAACTCATCATAGGTAAAGATGAGCTAACAAGATCAATGCTTTGCCAGCCATCTTTTTTCCTTCTTTTAGAGAGGGAATTGGTAAGAAGGATTTTATGGGGGTGGGGGGGAAGAGATTAACATGGAGAGAACTATCCCTGTAATTTGTCATCTAGTAATGGTTATATAGAATAAATACTAGAGGCCCAGTGCTGGGGGAGGGAAGGTCCCTCAGACCAGATTGCAAGAGGTGCAAGCCAGGTTGAGGGACCCCATAGTGCATGATCTGGGCCAGGGAGGGATGCAGAAGGTTGGCTCCAGGGAGTGTCCAGCTTGTCTCATTCAGTCTTGATAGGCTGGACCCCAGCAGCAAGCTAATCTACTGGTTGGAGCATCTGTCCCCTGGTGGTCAGTGCCATCATAGCAGGTGGTTGAGTGGCCTTAGCATGTCATTAGCATATTACACTTTGATTGGTTGAATGGCCGACTGAATGACCAGACGCTTAGCATATTAGGCTTTTATTTATATAGGATAGTTTTCTGTTAGCTTTAGCATCCCTGTTCAAGTGTACTGACTTAACACTCTGATATAGAAAAGTGGAATCACTGGTTGAAATCATGAAGCATAGAGTTTTTTCAACCCCCATTTTCCACAATCTCTGTCTCTGTCTTTCTGTCTGCCTCTTTCCCCCTCCTCCTGCATGTCCCTCCCTCCCTGCCTTCCTTCGTCCCTTCCTATTTTCCTCCCTCCCTATCTCCCTACCTCCTTATATACAAGTTCCTGAGGCATCTTAGTGGATGCATCTTAGCACAATTGGAAACCCTCCACTTTAGATACAAGATTAAAGTCACATAGGTCATAAGAAGTTTTTCTTATAAGACTCTTCATTAATACTGTAACAATTTGAGCAAAAGATATGAATGACAGGAGGAGTTGATATCTGGCCTTATAAAAAGGGGACAAAAAATATGTGAGCTCAGAATTGAGGTACATTTGATAATTTTAACAATTGTGAATACACAGAGGGCTGTCCCAGAAATTATGTAACAGCAACTTGAAGGTGAAACTGTCACAAGACTAGCTGGTTGAGTGCAGAAAAAACAAAGAAATATCTGTCTGGGAATTTAATATTGGTTGTGAATTTTTAAAATTTGAATTCTCTTAGTGTAGTAAGTCAGAATGTTAATATTTTCTCCATTTTGTCTAGCCACTGTTGAAAACAGCAGTATGCTTCGTGAATTATTGGTTTTGTGACATCAGCAAAATCCTCAACCTGTTTTGCTTTTTATATTCCTGTGTTGTTTTTGGATCCATTTCAGTGTTTTATGTAAAAATTTGTATATTTTGACCTGAGTTTTATACATGAGATTTTTCAGTGGGGGTTATGCTGGGGATTGAGAACATGCAATTTTACAACTAGAACAACAACTGGAGGTTAGTAACTTGACTGAAATATTAGAATCAGGATTAGACTCCTTTTATCCCAGATGGTGCTGTGTTGCCTGCTCTCTCTTGTAATTTGATGACTCAAGGGTAATCAATAACTCCTGTTTTGGAGAAGCTTGTCAGACAGATAATGAGTATTGATGATAGATTTTCCTTTTGTATCTGAATGTCTTCGCTTTTTTGTGTTTCTAAGTTCTCAAAGATGTCACATGGATACATTAAAGACCAAAGGCTGGGGGGAAGAGCAAAGTCATGGAATTAGACCAACTCAATTTGTTCCAAAACCATGTGAGTTTCCAGATTTAGCTCTTTCTTAATATACTGAACTTAGTCCATGTGCATATAAAATTGATAAATGGCATACTTATGAAAGGATGTAACCTTAAAACTATTAGACCCAGGGTGTTGACTAGTTTACCCAGTGCTAGTAATTTAGTAAGAGGGTTATTTCAAGGTGAAACAAATTTATAAAATACCTCTTGATTATAATTCCTAGTTTTTATATATAGTAGTATATATTTTGTGAGCCTAAAATTAATTTATTTTTTTGTGTATTAATTTCCTTGACACTAAATGATAGCTTTCCAAATGAGCAGACATCAATTTACACTAAATATTATATTTAAATAAGAAAGCGGTTTATGCATTTTTAAGCAATTTGATTTGTAAGGAGGCCTAATGTCTTTGGAATTTATTCTAACATTTCAGTGTAAATCAGTGTCTTAATACTTTGGAGACTATGTAAATTGAAATTCTAGCTATATATTGATTAATAAAGAAGACATTTTATTTTTTTCTTTACCATTTTCACAGATAGAGCTGCTGAAACAAGGGGACCTCTATGTCCAATGAGGAGTGAAAAGAGGTACATGGTTCAGTTCATTCTGTTTTCTTTTGACTTTTTTTTTTTTTTTTTTAATATATGTTATTGAATTTTAACAGACAGGAAGGGAGAGGGATAGAAAGTTAGAAACATAGATGCAAGAGAAATATCAATCAGCTGCCTCCTGCACACCCCCTACTGGGGATGTGCCCACACCAAGGTACATGCCCTTGACCGGAATCGAACCTGGGACCCTTCATTTCGCAGGCCGATGCCCTATCCACTGAGCCAACATTATTTTCTTACTTATAAGCTATATTTATGAGTAACCATGTCTGGGGAATTGTGAATTCTCCTCAACTCTGATTAGCTGGTCAGCATATATGGGTATATACATAGCTTTTGTGTCAGATGCCCACCCTAATTTGGGAGTGGGCATTTATTTCCTAGGCTTAGGGGTTGGAAGATGCAGATGCCACTTAGAAGAGAGTGTGATATGGTGGACATCTCTGGCATGTGACCAGTGAAGGCAATCCTACATGCTTTAGGATTTGGATGATAGTTCAAGGCAATTTTTGTTTATAAATGATTCTGTCTTATTTCTAAAACTAGTCTTACATGTACCAGGTTAAAATAATCCAGTCTGTAATCTCTATTTTTCCCCTCAGGTGTTCCAAGGGGAGAATTTCAGATATAGAAAAGACAGTTGGAATTAGACTTGAAAATGAAGGTGTAAGTAGAAGCCCTAGTTAAAATATATATTTTTTTCTCTCACACCTGACTTACTATTAATATTTTGGTGCATATGAAAAAAAGAAAAATGATATATGTTCATTTGATTTTTAACTCTTGTTCTCTTGGAGAAATTAACAGACATTGAAGATATACAACTTCAAGGAAGATAGCTTCCTTCTGAGTTGCTGGAATTTTATTTCTGTGTGATAGCCACCTTATTTGTAAGAGAGACTTAATTTGCCTCCATCTCAGCCCTTATGTGTGTTGCTTGGCTTCTTTTATGATGAGAGAGTCTCATTGATTGGCTGCCTCTTACATGCCCCCTACTGGGATCAAGCGTGCAACCCAGGCATATACCCTGACTGGGAATCGAACTGTGATCTAGTTCATAGATCAATACTCAACCACTGAGCCACATCGGTGGGGCCTAAGTTACAGTTTTAAGCCATGGTCTTAAGTCATAAATCTTAGAACATTATCTTCTCTGACTTCCCCATTTCTGGTGATTCAGAGTGAAGCGCTTTGTGTGTAATTATCATTTACCATCTGTGGGACAAAAACTATGCAGAAAGCCTGAGAGAGGATGGATGGTGTGGTGGTAATAATAACTTGAAGACCATATTCTGCTTCTGTGCCTGCTGAACTTGAAGGCTTTGCTGTCTGTGACCAGGGGAAGGGCCAGCAGCTACTGGTTTCCCAGGACTGGTATGCCTGGAAGTTAGCTAGAGTGAAGAGTACTGGCTAGGTATGTTGCGAATGTGGTTCTAGTTCAAAATTCTATTTCTAAGTAAATTTCTAAAATTTAAAAATAGTTTGAATACAGATTACATTCAATATTAAGGGTTATATAGGGTCATGATAAAGAAGGATGCTGGCAGAATGCTACTTTTTGACCTGAATGGTGATTACATTGGTGTTGATTTTGTAAAAATTAAGTGAACATTAATGTTTTGCCTATTTTTTTATAATTTATAATTTTTAGAACAAGTTTACTTAATATAACGATAGCAGTGTTTTTTTGGATTATGGATTGTATATTTTGCTGTTTTAATACTTTCAAATATATATATATATATATATATATATATTTTTTTTTTTAATATATTTTATTGATTTTTTACAGAGAGGAAGGGAGAGGGATAGAGAGCTAGAAACGTCAATGAGAGAGAAACATCCACCAGCTGCTTCCTGCACACCCTATTGGGAATGTGCCCGCAACCAAGGTGCATGCCCTTGATTGGAATCGAACCTGGGACCTTTCAGTTCGCAAACCAACGCTCTATCCACTGAGCCAAACCAGTTTCGGCTCAAATATATTTTTTAACTAAGTTATTTTTAATTCAGATAAGAGAACTGAAAAATGCTTTTCTTGTTTACCTTCAGGGAAAATGATAAGTGTTCTGTTTCATGGTTTTGCAATTGAGGTGTCCTGTGAGCCTTACATCTTGAACATTGTTTGGTTCCTCTTGCAGGAACAGATATGCTAAAGCTACTCATATGATGATTTGTTAATTCTCTATTCCTTCAAGATAATATCACTGTCTTATATTTCATGTGTTATGTATGCTAACATGTACAAGTATTAAACAAGTCAATAGAATATGGAAATTTTTTTGATCAGAGAAGGGGACACCAGTTGGAACCTGACCTGTCCGAAGAAGTGTCAGCCCGACTCCGCCTGGGCAGCGGGAGCAATGGCTTATTCAGGAGGAAAATCTCAACACTTGACACAAAAGAAAAAAGTTGCTCAGGCAAAGAGAGAGATAAAAGAACAGATGATCTTCTTGAACTTACAGAGGTATTGTTTCACGTGTTGCTCAGATTAAGAGACATGTTTTTGAATAACAAGTTATTCAAGTCTTGAGTGACTGTTCTGAAGAGTTTCTCTAGGGTATGAATACATTTATGAAAGAAATCCGGCCTACAGACTATTCAGTCACTGGCTACATGGATCATTAGTGATCTGTGAAGATGGCCTAAGGGGTCATATTAGTGTTTAACAAATGTGGGTAGACATAATTGTTACATATCTTGGAATATAATGGATTCTTTGTATAGTCTTTCTAACATAAAATATTTTAGATTACATAGAATGGGTTTGGCATAAGGAATTAGTTCGTTGCAGTTTTAAGTGACTATGATTTACTAAAATTCTTTGTTGATTATTGCATATGAAAACAGTAAAAACTTATAGAAAACAAGGAAATGAAGGTAGTTAAAATTTTTAAAGTTGAGCTCATGTCTTGGCTTCTCCCCCTCCCCTGCTTTTATTTTTAAAACTCAATCTCAATTTGTTAAAGTTATAATCTTTAAAGTCTAGGTCTTCCTTAAACTTTTAAGTTCAATTTAGAGATATTATTACTCTTTACAGGCTTCTTCTTCATTGTCATCTTAGTGGTAGTCAGTCCTATTCAGTTTACCTCTTGATCATTTACTATATATTGTGCATGCAGGTGGAGAAAGAGCCATAAAATTACAAAATTGTGTGCAGTAGGGACAAGCAATATTAACTATATTGGTGTGAAATAATTTCTGTCGGGTTTATAGATTCACTCTTGTAGCTTAAATATGAATTTATCTGCATAATCCTTTAGATGAAGCCATCTGTTCACTAAGGACTCAGGGCTAGACTGCTGCCTAGTTTCCTAGTTTCGGCCTGTTTGTTTACTCTCCTCATATCAAGATGAATAGTGTGATTTCCTAGGTGAAATTTTATTACTTTGATGCAGTTCAATAAAAGTTTAGAAGGGAAATAAAGTATGAAGATACTCTTAGTAATAAGTTATTGTGAAAGGAGCAAAGGCTAGTAAGTTAGAAACTCCTGGGTTCAAATTGTGGCTCTGCCTGTTAATAATTCATAAGTTCGAGCACATAACCTAAATTCTCTGAGCATTGTCTTTCCTATAAAACGTATTTTCCGCCGAAACCGGTTTGGCTCAGTGGATAGAGTGTCGGCCTGCGGACTGAAAGGTCCCGGGTTCCATTCCGGTCAAGGGCGTGTACATTGGTTGCGGGCACATCCCCAATGGGGAGTGTGCAGAAGGCAGCTGGTCGATGTTTCTAACTCTCTATCCCTCTCTCTTCCTCTCTGTAAAAAATCAATAAAATATATTTTAAAAAAATGTATTTTCCCCATAAGCAGGAATCAATGATGTACTTCAAGCATCTGGTACCATGTTTGGCCCATAGTACTCAATAAATGGCAGTGGGATACTTGAGACTATACCTTAAATTTAAATAATATTAACACACTATTTTCAGAAGCTAACAATTTAACTAGCATTTTTTATAACCATTAGTAAGACTTTTGTAGTCTAAGTTTAAATCTTTTTATACATTAATTTAGTAAGTCCTTGAAGTGTTACAAAAGTGAAATTGGCTTTTTCAGTTTCATACTTTTCAGTATCTGATAGTGGCTTTATATTAAAGTAGCATCCACTGGACTTTCTAATTCAGGACATGGAAAAGGAAATCAGTAACGCCCTAGGCCATGGCCCACAGGATGAGATCCTAAGTAGTGCTTTCAAATTGCGCATCACTCGAGGGGATATCCAGACCCTGAGGAACTTTCACTGGCTCAATGATGAAGTAAGTTGTCTTCCAATGATGAAGTAAGTTATGCTTGACCAGTTACATCCATAACCAAAGTGGTATCTACCCAATTATAAGGGGTTGGTAAAGCAACTTTCAGTTTTACCTAAAACAAAAGCATCTTGGATTGTAGAGAGATGGTTAATTCTGATTATTTGCTGCCTTTAATTGGCATTATTTCCCTGTTCTGCATCTGTGCTTCGTTTCATCCACCACTTCATTCACTAGTCTTCACTAATGTTTTTATAAACCCTGGGTGCAGCTGATGACTGGAAGAAAGCAGCGAGTGATATTTTATTTTAGATGAATTTTTATAGGAGCTGTTTTAAAATAAAGGGATACGTTGATCATTATATGTACACTATATGTCTTTTTCTTTATTTCATTTGAGTGATAATGCAAAAATTCACCTTATTGTCATCTTGTGTCCTTACATATTTAGCTAAAGCTAGTTTTTAGTTCTTGCCAATTTTCCAGTTCGTCCTTTACCCAACTGCTCAGTCCCTCTTTTTTCTTTCTTTGCCTTTCTTTCTGCCTACACTCCCATGACTACTGACTATATATAAACAAATTCCTATAATACTAGTATGTTTTATTCCACATGGTAAGTTTATCATGTTTATTACATATTAAATTTAGAAAATACAGGGAAAATGAAAATAAGTGCCCCCACTAAAAAATTAAAATATAGTGTTGTATATTTCCTTTGAATTAATATTTTAAAATTGAGGTGTAATTTATATTGTATAGCAGAATTTACTTCCATTTAATATTTCTGCATATTTTTTGTGATAGTTATATACATCTTTTCATTATTGCAAACTTCCTCCTTAAGTTCCTTCTTTTGACTCTCTTACTAATATGTCCCAAATGTATAATTTCATTCCTTCTTAGTTCCTCCCATTTTGTACTGATTATTTTTATATTTCATCTTCTGCCATAGAAAGTTCTTTTATCCCCTTCTCTGGTACCTTCCCTTCACTAGGCTTCTTACTGTCTAATGAATGTGAATTCAGTTAGGTTAGAAACAGCTTTGTTAATGTACTTGCCATGTTCTAAAGTTGACTCTCTTGGTATTACAGGTGATTAATTTTTACATGAATCTTCTCATGGAAAGAAATAAAAAACAAGGCTATCCAGTACTTCATGCATTCAGTACTTTCTTCTATCCCAAATTAAAGTCTGGGGGTTACCAAGCAGTGAAAAGATGGACCAAAGCGGTCAATCTCTTTGAACAGGAACTAGTTCTGGTGCCTATTCATCGGAAGGTACATTGGAGCCTGGTGGTGAGTCGACAGGGTTAATTGTTCGGAATTTGGAAAATGACCATTTTCTTTCTTTCTTTTTTTTTTTTTTTAATTAAATTATTATTTTTGTACATATACCAATGTCCCCCCTCCCCCCCGTACATACCCTCCCTCCCCAGAGTTTTGTATCCATTGGTTGTACTTATATGCATGTATACAAGTCCTTCGGTTGATCTTTTATCTCCCCCAGATCTCCCCAACCTCCCCGCTGTAATTTGACAGTCTGCTTGTTGCTTTACTGTCTCTATATCTATCTTTTGGTTCTTCAGTTTATAATGTTCTTTATCATCCATAAATAAGTGAGGTCATGTGGTGTCTCTCTCATTGACTGGCTTGTTTCACTCAGCATGATGTTCTCCAATTTCATCCAGGTTGCTGCAGGAGAATTTTTTTCTTTTTTATGGCTGCATAATATTCCATTGTGTAAATGTATCATAGTTTTTGGATCCAATCATCTGCTGATGGGCACCTAGGCTGTTTCCAAATTCTGGCTATTGTAAATTGTGCTGCTATGAACATAGGGGTGCATATATTCTTTCTGATTGATGTTTCTAGCTTCTTGGGATATATTCCTAGGAGTGGGATTACTGGGTCAAATGGGAGTTCCATTTTCAGTTTTTTGAGGAAGTTCCATACTGTTCTTCACAGTGGTTGCACCAGTCTACATTCCCACCAGCAATGCATGAGGGTTCCTTTTTCTCCGCAACCTGGCCAACACTTGTCGTTTTTTGATTTGTTGATGTTGGCCATTCTGACAGGTGTGAGATGGTACCGCATTGTTGTTTTGATTTGCATTTCTCGGATAATTAGTGACTTTGAGCATGTTTTCATGTGCCTCTTGGCCTTCCTTCTGTCTTCTTTTGAGAAGATTCTATTTAGATCCATTGCCTATTTTTTAATTGGATCATTTATCTTCCTTTTATTAAGTTGTGTAAGCTGTCTGTAGATGTTGGAGATTAAACCTTTATCAGTGATAACATTTGCAAGTATGTTCTCCCCTACAGAGGGCTTTCTTGTTTTGTTGATGGTTTCCTTTGCTGTAAAAAAGCTTTTTATTTTGATGTAGTCCCATTTGTTTATTTTCTCTTTAGCTTCCATTGCCCTAGGGGAAGTATCAGTGAAGAAGTTCTTTTGGCATATGTCTGAGATTTTGCTGCCTGTGGATGCCTCTAGTATCTTTATGGTTTCCCGTCTTATGTTTAAATCCTGTATCCATTTTGAGTTTATTTTTGTGAATGGTGTAAGTTGGTAATCCAGTTTCATTCTTTTACATGTATCTGGAAAATGACCATTTTCTTAAATAATGAAGGCTGCACTTTTCTGTGAACATTCATACTGTATGTTAAAGGCACACTCTGCAAAGTCCCTTCTTGGTTCTTGAGTCGGAACATCTTAGAAAGATAGAAGAGAGTTGCTTTCGCTGAGTCACCAAATAGCTTTCATTTTTAATAGGAAAGAGTTTTAGTACACATGGGTCATTTATTTGTTTTGTTTACAAGATGGTAGAGGTTAGTTATAGAAAAGTAAAAGTATAAAGAAAAAAGCAAAAAAATCTCATTAGTCTGAGAGGACCACTAGTGTTTTGGGGGTTGAGTTTTTAAGCCTTTCTGTAGGAATAGAAAAGTTTTATAGAAATGAAACTCATCTCATCTGTGATGTTTAATAAAAATTGGAAGCCCGATGCATGATTTGTGCAAGAATGGGCCTTCCTTTCCCTAGCTGCTGGCACCACCTTTCCACTCCAGTCCTGCCTTCCCATGCTGCCCAGAGGCCCTGAGCGGCTGGGGCAGTACAGAATGCCTGCATTGTTGCCATGGCGATGATGCAAGTGTCCCACCCCACCCTGGCCACTTGGTGCCTACATATGCTAATTAACCCACAAGCTTTGTTGGGTTAATTTGCATACTCATGCCTGATTGGCTGGTGGGAGTTGCAAAGGTACAGTCAATTTGCATCTTTCTGTTTTATTAGTGTAGATGTGTCTTAGAGATCCATTCATGTTGGTACATGTATTGACTTTTTACAATAAAAGATGCTTTTCTTTTTTAGAAATTCTCACTCCTGTTATGATTGTTTCTATAATATGTGTTGCATTTTTCCATTATAGGTGATAGACCTAAGAAAAAAATGTCTTAAATATCTGGATTCTATGGGACAGAAGGGCAACAGGATCTGTGAAATTCTCCTGTAAGTAAAGGCTAAAAAACTTCACTGCTACCTCATATGCTCTTGTTAGGTGATCTGTCTTCAGTCTAATCCTATAGTCTAATCCTATAGTCTAATGTGAAGTCAAGGCTATCTTCCCAGGTGTTCAGGACCTAACTTGAACCCACTGTTTTGTTTAAAAATAACCTAATATCTGATCTTAACTGAGAAGTCTTGTTTAGTAGCATCATTGAAAGCAAATTCGTCTTGTGTTATAATGTAAAATATATCTTATTAAAATCCTGGGATTTGAATTAGATTTATTTGGAATACATTTTTTTGAATGATGCCCGGCCAGTATGGCTCAGTGGTTGAACATCGACCTGTGAACCAAGAGGTCACAGTTTGATTCCCTGTCAGGGCACATGCCCGGGTTTCAGGCTCGATCCCCAGTGGGGGGGTATGCAGGAGGCAGCAGATCAATGATTCTCATCATTGGTGTTTCTCTCTTGCTCTCCCTTCCTCTCTAAAATTAATAAAAACGTTTTTTAATATAGTATGTGGTCCATGTTCTGATTTTATTTCCTTATCCAGAAAACCAGTTAGGGTTCATGCATGTATTTTATGTCTTTAGTCACCTTTAATGTAGAATAGTCTTCCTGCCCTTTTTTTTTATTTTAATTGAGATTGGCTTTGTATCTTTTTTTAAAAGTCCAAGCCAGTTGTTTTGTTTTATATCTGTCTTTAAGTGAGAAAAAAAGTTGTAAAATGAAGTCCATTTTTTAATAGAATAAAATGTATGTTGTTTTTTATTTGAGAGAGAGAAGGGGAGAGAGAAAGAGAGAAGCATCAGTGTAAGAGAGAAACAGATGGGTAGCTTCCTGAATGCGCCCCAACCAGGGATCAAACCTGAAACCCTTTTGGTGTGTAGAACAAACCTCTTCATGCATGGGTGGATGCTCAACCACTGAGCCATACCAGCCAGCCACAGCAAACTATTAATAGTTCTGAAGTGGTTATTATGGATTTTACATTTATATGTTTTAACTTTTAGAAATTAAGCATGTACAATTTTTGTAAGCAGAAAAGAACTCCAAGTTGTCTTTAAGGGATTCATCAATCCATTTTTTTTTTTTTTTTTTTAGTCAGTATTTGCAGGATGAAAGTAAGACCAAAAGAAACGTTGATCTGAATCTTTTAGAGTGGACGCACTATAGCCTGAAGCCACATGTAAGTGTTGAGCATCTGTATTTCAAATACTTCTTTGCACTTTCCGTCAGAGGCATATTACTTATGCTTGATCTCCTCCCTCCCTCCCTCCCCTCACACTCACCCGCAAGCATGCATTCTCCTGAAGTGTATGTACATCTTAAGAATTATCTACTTCTTAATCTTTTTAACCAATATGTTTGCTGCTTAGCTTTATCTTCTTGCTTAAATTATAAATGTTAGGTACATGCTCATATCTCTCGAAAAATTGAAGAAAAAAGAAAATTCTCAGTAAATTCAGGTCAGCTACTTTTCTTGGTAGGCCCTAATGAAAATTTGAAGTTCTTGTTCAAAACTTATTTGAACATTTTGTATATTTAGTTCTCAGGGTCCCATGTATGCTATTGTATTTGTGAGCGTGTTTGGGTCTTGCCAGATTTGAATCTCATTCAGGGTTGAAAAAGGTATACATCTTTGAGTCCTAATGGCTTCATTTTAAAGTAAAGTACATTAATTCAGTTTTAGCCCTAGCCTGTGTCTATCAGGCCAAAACCATTTTCATTTCTAAGTTGAATAATTAGAAAGGAAAACTTTAAATTTTCCTGAGGAGAGCACAGATATAAGAAGTCTGTTAGGATGACGACTGTGTTCTGGGAAATGTAACAAAGAAAACAAGTTCTCTTTATTTGTATACTAGAGACCAGGTGCATGAAATTTGCATGCTGGGGGAGGGGAGCAGGGGTTCCTCAGCTCTTCCTCTGCCCTCTCATAGTCCAGGAGCCCTTGGGTATGTCCAACTGACATCCAGGGGAGCGGGCCTAAGCCAGCAGTCCGACATCCTTAGCATTGCCACAGAGGTGAGAGAGGCTCTGTGCTCACCAGCCATGACCCCGGCTTCTTGCTGAGCGGTGCTCCCCCTGTGGGAGCGCACTGACTACCAGGGGGCAGCTCCTGCATTAAGCGTCTGCCTTCTGGTAGTCAATGTGTATCATAGCGACCAGTCATTCCGCTGTTCAGTCGATTTGTATATTGGCCTTTTACTATATAGAATTGACAACTATAGTTCTTACCAGTCTGTAAGAGATGCTGGGTTTGAAAGAAAAGTGAGAAGTACCTACCAAATGTATGTGTGGTGTGCATGTTAAACAAATTTTCCACAATAATCATCTGGATTTCCTTGACTAAAAATTGAGTTGCTTTCATCTAGTATGTTTTCCAGCAGTGGAATCAGACTCTCTTAAGCTCTTATTCCCTTGTGCTCATTATAACAAAGCCAAAGTGTGTGAGGGGCTGGCCCAGATTAGTGCAACGAGGCTGGGGAATGTGCGTTTACTACCTCACGTGGGGTTATGGTACCCTTTTGCCTCAGCACAGAACTGAGAAGCAAGGTAAGGTTTCCTAATTGGTTAGAGCCTATGAGAGCTTTTTTTAATCCTCCCCTGCTTGCAGCTCTGGGGATCCAGAGCGGTTGTCTTATTCTCCTTTAGGGAGGAGAAGCTTAACTCTTACAATACTGAAGTAAGTTAGTTGTCTTGTAGACATATTCTGATTGAGCCACATTAGCTCTTTTCAGAATTTATAAATTTCTGAAATAAATCAGACTAGAATTTCTTCTTTCAGTTTGGTTTCTTCATATGAAAGCCGAGATGAAACTCTCTCTTTCCTTTTTCTGTTTGCTTCTGAAAAACATTTTCTATGGGGTCACAAACTCCATGCCATGGTTAGGATTTTAATGCCACGTAAAGACTAATTTGTGTGTGTATGTATATGTGTCTATTTTGTATATGTTTAATATTTACCTTTATAATGTTTATCCACAGTAATATTTAGAAAAAGTCAAAGGAGTTTGTATTTGATGAAATTTTACCTCTTCTTCTCTTCCTTTTTTTTTTTTTTTTTTTTTTTTTTTTTTTTTTTTTTTTTTTTTTTTTTTTTTTTGTAATTTTAGGAGATTCCTCAACAGTTGAATGGGAGTGATTGTGGAATGTTTACTTGTAAATATGCAGATTATATGTCTAGGGACAAACCTATCACATTTACTCAGGTGAGTGAAGACTCTTCCCCATCCACTTGTTACTAAACAAGATAAACTTAGATCGCGTTAGCGCCTGGTGCACATTAAGATCTTAATAATGGTAGCTGTGCTGCTGTCACTGCTGTAAACTTGGCTGTAGCCCTACTCTTGCTAATATGAGGGTTTGTTACTGCATCTGCCCTCAGGTTTTTCCTAGTCTTCATGATCATGGGGTCAGTATGCTGTCTTTCACCTCCAGTGTTCACTGGTTTCTGAATGTGACTGATATTTTTAGCTGAAGGAGGCAGGTAAGAATAGGTAACTGCAAGGGGAAATCAGGCCTTGTAAGCCACAGATCTAAGCTGTAATTATGAATTCTGCTTTTCCCTTCTAGTCTAGTTATTATTGGTTCCCCAAGTTCTGTATTTGAGTGAAAATTAAAATATGTTGGAAACGGCCGAAACTGGTTTGGCTCAATGGATAGAGCGTCGGCTTGGGGACTGAAAGGTCCCGGGTTCGATTCCGGTCAAGGGCATTTACCTTGGTTGCGGGCATATCCCCAGTAGGGGGTGTGCAAGAGGCAGCTGATCGATGACTCTCTCTCATCGATGTTTCTAACTATTTCTCTCCCTCTCTGTACAAAATCAATAAAATATATTAAAAAAAATAAAAATAAAAATAAAATAAAATATGTTGGAAACGAGAATTTGTGTTTGTAATAGTGGATTCTCAACCTTTTTACAACTGAAGAAAACCCCCTTTAAAAATATATTTCTTGCCCTAGCCGGTTTGGCTCAGTGGATAGAGCGTCAGCCTGCGGACTGAAAAGTCCCTGGTTCGATTCGGTCAAGGGCCCATGCCTGGGTTTCAGGCTCCATCCCCAGAAGGGGGCATGCAGGAGGCAGCCAGTCAATTATTTTCTCTCATCATTGATATTTCCATCTCTCTCTCCCTCCCTGAAATCAATAAATATGTATTTTAAAAAATATATTTTTCTTAACCACAACTCATTTTGATAGATGTTGTCTACCAAACTGTACTTACTGACTAGTAGGACTGATAACCCCATTCCAAGCTTTGGGCAACATGAAAGAACCAGGGTTCTAATGTGGAATTAATACTGTTCCAGTCTGAAATAAAGACACTTATTATGAGCTTCATCAGTTTTACTAAGAGTAAATGTACAGTTTTTTTGCTACATGTTTTGAGCTATTTAAAATGTACAAATCCAAGAAGAAGAAAAAAGTACAAATCCATGACATAAGACTTTTAGGTGGGAAACCACTAGTGAAGGGGCATATCCAGCTATTTATAATGAGACGCCAGGAATACCTCTAGGGCTTAACTTCGATTTCATAAAAAGGACTAGTTGAGTTTCAGATGATTTTGGATTTACCTTGTATGTTGCTGCTTTGAAAATTGCCCCATGTAGTGATTATCAGTTATAGGGGTGTCGAACTCAATCAGAGAAGGGGCCAAAATCTAAAATCCAGCCTAAATCGCGGGCCGAATGGTTTACTGAACAGTCATAAACTGTCATTGTGATGGAAACGCAGCGGAGTGCAGTGATGACAGCGCGGTGCGGGCCACATTGCAAGGCCTGGCGGGACGGATTTGGCCCGCGGGCCTTGTGTTTGACACATGTGAGTTAAAACAATAACATTATGCAGAGAATCTCATTTTTAAAAAATATATTTTATTGATTTTTTTACAGAGAGGAAGAGAGAGGGATAGAGAGTTAGAAACATCAATGAGAGAAAATCATTGATCAGCTGCCTCTTGCACACCCCCTACTGGGGATGTGCCTGCAACCAAGGTACATGCTCTTGACCGGAATTGAACCCGGGACCTTTCAGTCCGCAGTCCGACGCTCTATCCATTGAGCCAAACCAGTTTCTGCAAGAATCTCATTTTTTGATGCTTTTAAATAAGTGGTTATTCTGAGCCTAATGACATGAGATTCGAAGGGGAGAAGTTGCTATTTGAACAGTATTGGCAATGCACAACATTTGGTAGAGCAGAAAGAAATCTGCCAAATCTATTTATTACTTAAATAAAGTTCAAGTTTTTCTCAGAGAGAGAGCAGAATATTTTGAGAATGTTTTGAGAAAAAGATATAAGTAGAAAAAGTGATCTATTGTGCCACTTCTTAGATATTCCCATTTTTGGTACATGTTTCTGTTATGAGGTTGTTGGACTTTACTGTATAATTCTGCATATTTTCCTTAACATGTAAAATACTAATGAAACATATAATAATAAACATTATAGACCTCCTTTTTCATGGCTTCATGAGTCTGTATCAGAATGTAAAAAAGTTAAGGCATACCTAATGGACATGGCATCTTACATTATTTGCATGATTGCACTTAAAAGTTGTTGATGCTGTGCAAGCGAATTAATGAATATGTTTTGGTGGATTCTTTGCAGCACCAGATGCCTCTCTTCCGGAAAAAGATGGTGTGGGAAATCCTTCATCAGCAGTTGCTGTGAGAATGCCCGGCCCAGTCCCTTAGCTGCTGGTGGTTCTTTCATGGACGAACGTTTTCATATACCTCATGCATTGTGGGTTTAAAAGTCCCTGCACCGCCTGTTCTCACAGGTACTGAGCTGTCAGACATGCATGAAGGCCCTGCACCCTAGTGTTCTGACTTGGTATGCGAAGGGCTGCTTGCGACCTGTTTGTAAGACTGTGCCTGCTCAGAGCCTGGACTATTCAACCCACATAGGAACAAACGCTAATTAATACTTTTTTTTAAAAGATTTTCCCCCCCCTGTGAATGTGGAAAATGCAGGTTTTATTCTATGAGATGTTGTTTTCTGTGTTTGTTCACGTGTATTCATTCACTCACTCATTTGCATACATAATGGGCAGTGGCTGTTTTCTGCTGCTCTTTTACAGTTAACTTTGAATTGTTTGAACTATTTATTTCTGAAAAGAATGTTAATCAAGCTGCCATTCTCTGCTGAAGATGTAGAGGGAAAGCAGTGAGGGTGAGAGGAAGGAAGTGTTAATTGACTTCTCTGACCTTGGAGCAGTAACTGCCAACTTGAAGCTGGAGGTCCTTTTTTTTTTTTTTTTTTTTTTTTTTTTTTTTTTTGAGGTTTGAAAATGCCAGGAGAAGTGCTGGGTGTGGGGCTCTGATTGCCTTTCAGAGGAAGGCAGAGACTCCGGCACCGGCACTGGCAAGGTGTCGGAAAGTGGGACTGAGGCCAAGAGACTCTGGCTGCCTAAGCATCTTCCGAAAACTGTGATGGTCATCTAGAGAGATTTCCTTTCTGGAAATGAGGTGACTGCTGCTCTTGAAACTGGATTTGAAGTAACTAAACCCTGATCTTCATTTGCACCCTAGATCTGGTTGAGGATAAACCTCAGAATTGTAAGGGCTGGCCTGAGCTGTTTATTTCAAAAGGGTCTATTCAACTTAAAGCTATTTTTCCCTCAAAGTTTTTTGTTTTTTTTTTCTTCTATATAGAAAGCTGAAATTAAGTTTTGTATTCATTAGGATTTACATCCCCCACCCCCTCCTTCCACCCCTACTGAAATTTGTGGAAGAAAATTTAGTACTTGGCTCTGAGGTTACAACAATCTATTTTGCATATGAAAGTTTGTATTTAACTTTTTTGTTCATTAAAAACTTTACAGTGGTTATGCATTTTTAATTTCAGAAAGTTTAGAATTGGTCAAAACATATTTTGCAAGATCTAGTGCCTAGTGTTGCTTTTCCGATGTAATAAAAGGTTGCCTGGCAGAACTTGAAAAGTATATGCTGAAATGATTTCTAACCCTTCCCCTACTAAACTCCCAAACTTATCCTGGTACACAAAAGCAAGAGGTAAAGCCAGAAAATGCGGGCATGTGTTAGCTATGAGTGAACATGTCTGCACCCGGAGGGCCCGGCTGCTCAGAGGCGTGCTGTTGCAGCCAGTGTCCCTGAGACGGGAACGTTTAGGTGTGGGACCTGGGGCTTGTGATGTGGATTAAAGTGTTGCGCCTACTTGCTGGGCAAACCAGGGGACGTGTGCTTTGGTGGTGATTCAAGAAAGAGCCAGCTGTGCCACATCTCCCTCAAGCTCAGGCTGCACAGAACCCTTCCTGCAGCTTCGGTTCCTTCCTCGGGGTTGCTGGATTGCAGCCAGTGAGCACCGGGATCGAGCCGCTGGCACAGCCGAGAAAGAGATTGACTGGGTAGCATTATACTGAAAACCTGGCTCCCACTTAGCGCTAGTAAGTTCACCTGGCAATGTAGTACCTTGGTCAATGTTTGTACCGTGTGGGGTGGGTAAATCCTGTCAGGAATGGCAGTCTGGGTTCTGCCCATATGACTGAGGCGTGGGTGGGGGTTTTTAATGTATTTGTATTACATTCCAAGCATCTGAGGGCCTTCATAGAGCAGCTGTTTCCCAGGACATAATGAAATTGGTAAGAGCAGAGTTAGAGAATGGCATTCTACATAACCCAGACTTCCAGAAGTTATTTTGAGATACTCATGCTTCTCTAGGCACTGACATGTCTGTCTTGTTGCAGAGAAATTTGTTGGTAACAGAATTTTTATATCTAAACATTTATGATAAAAGCAGTCAGGTGATAAGGTAATGATTTTATCAACATACCAATAGTGAAACTATCAATATTAAAGTCAGTGAGATGATGTATATTTTTTATTATAGCAGTTTGAGGGTCTTAGGCAATCTCAAAAGAATTGATTAAAATAGGAAAAACCCCCACAGTTGATGAGCAAATGTCTTTCTCATGTTTGACCTTGTACCAGAGTTGGGATGCAGGTGAGGGGAAAGACTTGGGGCAGTGGAAGATGTCTGGAGGGCCCCATATTCTACCTTAGTTTCCCAGGAGATAAGCTGCTAGACTTCCTACTTTTTCCTCCTCTGAACTGTGAAACACAGCTTGCTCTGCCCAGTGGTAATGTTTGCTGCATGTGGAGGAGTTGCTTGGTGCTGGGACCAAGCTGTGGGTGTGGGGAGGATGTGTCCTTGGAGATATATTAAACTCATACAATAAATAAACAAGGTAGAGTAATTTAAGTAATAACATTAGTAATGTAGTGCAGCTACATTGTTTAAATTGGCTTTTATGAACTAATTGAGAATCTAAATTCTTTATGGTAGTTTCTTCAAGAAAAACTCTAAGGAACCAGTATTTAAACAACTTTTGGTACTTGTTTTTAAGTTGGGAGATCTAGCTGACTATATTCCTTCGATAATTTTTTAATTTAAATTTACCGAATATATACAAGGAAAGGGTTTGGGTGTTTGAAATAGGTGTTCATTTTACTTATTTATCGATAAATTAATCTCTCTTTTTTTAAAAAAATATTTTTTATTGATTTTTTACAGAGAGGAAGGGAAATAGAGTTAGAAACATGGATGAGAGAGTCATCAATCAGCTGCCTCTTGCACGCCCTCTACTGAGGATGTGCCCGCAACCAAGGTACATGCCCTTGACTGGAATCGAACCCGGTACCCCTCAGTCCGTAGGCTGACGCACTACCACTGAGCCAAACCAGTTTTGGCAAATTAATCTCTTTAATTCATTGGATTTCACTTTTTTTTTATTGCAATGATAAATGTATTTCATATTGTGTGTCATGTGAGTATGTGTGGACACAAAAGTTTTACATAAACATTACTTGTTCTTGCTATCTTTTGAATTTTATCTTGATATTTTAAAAATGTGCATTGTGACCTCCAAATTGATTTCTAAACAGTCTAATAGATGGAAATCCAGTTTGAAAAACACTGCTCTAAATAAACTGGCAGCAAGATGCAAATTATATGTAAAACTGTAAAGCTTGAGACTGCAAAGATGGGATAAATATGAAGCTGTTTTGAGATTACTCAATCTAGGAAAACAGGCCAGAAGCTCAGCGAAAATGTGTGTTATAAATAGTCCTTGTCCTTTAGGGTTTTACATTGATGTTTCCTAAAATCTACCTAATGAAAGACTAACATGCTAATTGACCGTATCTTTGTGATGCCCACCAACTAATCAGGAGTGACTAAGCAAATGAACCCAACAAAGATGGCAGGTTAATTTGCATACACAGACTCTGAGCAGCTGGGGGTGGGGCAGGATGCAGGCGGTTAGCACCACCCCAGCCTCTGGGCAGTGTGGGAAGGCAGAAAGGCGGCTCTGGCCACAGCCAAGGCGCTGCCAGCAGCCAGGGGAAGAAAGGCCCATTCTTGCACGAATCTTCATGCATCGGGCCTCTGGTCTGTTAAGTAAAAGTCCTAATCTATATAGGATGTAGATCAAAGGATTCTATGGCTCAATGAATGTGTGTGCCATGTGATACATAGTAAACAGAATGAATTAATGTCTTAACCATTTCTGAAAACCTGGACACTGAGCCCTTCTCTGTGACACCTGTGGAACTTGTATGGATACACTTTGGAAAGTGTCAGGAGAGGCAGCACAGAGATCTTGGAAGCAAGTGTTGCTTCCCACCCCACCCCAAGCACACATATTGCCTTCTGAAGATCATGTGGTGATCCTAAAGTCTGTGATTCTCATATTTTAATTGTATCTGTACTAGGTGTTCATAGCAGAAAAAAAAAATAAGAATTTTGCAAACTCACCATCCAGAGTTAATAACTTCATATTAACATTTTGGTATAAATCGTGGACTTTGGCATATACTCCTCCATATGTGTCGTAGTGTGTGTGCTGTATATGCTTGCGCATGTATATATTTTTGTTTTTAACAAATATGGATTGATAAGATATATCTGGATATATAATCCCTCTCCATTTAATTTATTTTGACCATATTTTCATGTCAATAAATATTGACATTTTAATAGCATATTGTTCCAGTATATGGCTATAAAGTAATTCATTTAATCCAGTATTGTTGCACACACCACACTGCACAATATTTGGGTTATGCTATTAGGAAAAATTCTTAGAAATAAGATTTCTGGCTTAAGCTATGTATATCAATAAAATCAGGGGGCGGGGAGGGAATCACCCATTGATACTTTTACTTATTCTGGCATAAGAGATTAAAATAGTCATTGACTTACATTTTTTAAATCTTTTTTTTTTTTTTAAATATATATTTTATTGATTTTTTACAGAGAGGAAGGGAGAGAGATAGAGAGCCAGAAACATCAATGAGAGAGAAACATCGACCAGCTGCCTCTTGCACACCCCCTACCGGGGATGGGCCCGCAACCAATGTACATGCCCTTGACCGGAATCGAACCTGGGACCTTTCAGTCCGCAGACCGATGCTCTACCACTGAGCCAAACCGGTTTCGGCACATTTTTAAAATCTTTATTGTTCAGATTATTACAATTATTCCTCTTTCACTCCCCCCCACCCCCATACTGCTCTCTGTCCGGTTCCCACCCCACCTTCTGCTCTTACCCCATGTCCCATTGTCCTCATCCATAGGTTTATAATTTTTGTCCAGTCTTGTCCTACACCCCCTCACCTCTTTCCCCCTGAGTATTGTCAGACCACTCCCTTTCTATGCCCCCGAGTCTATTATATTCACCAGTTTATTCTGTTCAAAAGATTTTTTGATTCACTAGATTTTTAGATTTACTTGTTGATAAATATGTGTATTTGTTGTTCATAATTTTTTAAAATATATTTTATTGATTTTTTACAGAGAGGAAGGGAGAGAGCTAGAAACATCAACCAGATGCCTCCTGCACACCCCCCACTGGGGATGTGCCTGCAACCAAGGTAAATGCCCTTGACCGGAATCGAACCCGGGACCCTTCAGTCTGCAGGCTGACGCTCTATCTACTGAGCCAAACCGGTTTCCGCTGTTGTTCATAATTTTTATCTTTATCTTTTTCTTCTTTCTCTTCTTACAGAATACCTTGCAGCATTTCATATAATACTGGTTTGGTGGTGGTGAACTCTAGCTTTTTCTTATCTGTGAAGCTCTTTATCTGACCTTCAATTCTGAATGATAGCTTTGCTGAGTAGAGTAATCTTGGTTATAGGTTCCTGCTATTCATCACTTTGAATATTTCTTGCCACTCCCATCTGGCCTGCATAGTTTCTGTTGAGAAATCAGCTGACAGTCGTATGGGTGCTCTCTTGAAGGTAACTAACTGTTTTTTTCTTGCTGCTTTTAATATTCTGTTTGTCTTTTGCCTTTGGAATTTTAATTATGATGTGTCTTGGTGTGGTCCTCTTTGGATTCCTTTTGTTTGGGGTTTTGTGCGATACCTGGACCTGAGGGTCTATTTCTTTCACCAGGTGGGGGAAGTTTTCTGTCATTATTTCTTCAAATAGGTTTTCAGTATTTTGCTCTCTCTATTCTTCTGGCACCCCCATAATTTGGATGTTGGTACGCTTGAAGTTGTTCCAGAAGCCCCTTACACACTAGCTTCATATTTTTGGATTCTTTTTTCTTTTCTGGTTAATTGTTTTTTGCTTCTTTGTATTTCAAATCTTTAACTTGATTCTTGTGATCTTCTAGTCTGCTGTTGGATCTTTGTATATTATTTTTTACTTCCGTCAGTGTATGCTTAGTTTCTAGTTGGTCCTTATTCATATCCTTGAGGGTCTTGCTAAATTTATCAGCCTTTTCTAGAAAATTCTTGAAAAATCTTATAACTATGGTTTTGAATTTTATATCCAGTCATTTGCTGTCCTCCATTTCTTTCATTTGTGACGTTTCTTTTTGTCCACATTTTGGCTGCCTCCCTGAGTTGATAGAGTGGCTTTGTGTGCTAGGTGTCCAATAGGGCCCAGTGGCTCAGCCTCCCCAGTTATCTGA